CTCTTTCTCTTCAGCTGCCTATGTTTGCATGTTTCAGCCATTTTAAAGTCTAGATATTACAGCTGGTGGCCATACACAATTCATAGAACATTAGTTATATGTGTTTTTGCATCTATTGGCCACTAACAGTTAGCATTTCACCCGCACTGCCTGCAGACTTTTGTACTGACCAACATTGGGTGATGGGGGAGGGGTGAGTAACGTAGTAGGGGTGAGGTTTTTTTATATCATAGAATAACTGGGTTTTCTTGAATACAACAGAACAAGACCAGGATCAATTGATAGTGTAATAAAGGGACCGTACACATTTTTTACTAACTTCAGTTATTTATTAATAACAAAGGTGCTCTTAACCAAAAGTGCCAAAATAAGCCAATATCAAATATCAGTGTCAGTTTTGGCCTCAGGAATCCTGTCTTGGTCCGGCTCTAAACCTCTGTTCTGTCACCTGTTTTTCTTTCATATGGCCACCTTCAATTGTAAGATAATTGAATGATGTGATCATTAATTCTTTATAAACAAGACCAAGGAGAAGTGTAATTATGCTACACTTATATTGATGAATTATTAAATAAAGTCATAGTTTAAGCCTTCATGTTTATGTGTACATGTGTTGGGATATGGTAAACATTATAATCATTATTCTGTGTGTATGTTGTCTGCATTTAAAATAGCTGACACATCGCTGCCTGTGTCTGTGATGGCACATGGCACTGTTTTAAAAAGCATCTTTGCTTTTCCTCATCCACATCCTCATTTTATCCGCTCTGGAGAACGTATTGCCATTGTCCATAAAATGGACTAAAATCTTCATTTTTGTACAGTGGAAGGAAATGGAGATGTGCTGCGCAGGTGCTGTAGGTTGGACCCAAACTGCAGGTCTGAATGACAGAAAATCCCTGAATATGAATAACATTTCAGATTATAAATGAAACCAACCTGAGATTACGAGAGGAATCGTGTGTTTAAATACTGAATGTATCAGGTGTGTGTTTACATAATCCACCTCTGCTTTATTATTGAAATCCTGTTTATGTGTCACATCCTGCACCTGCAGCAGTTCCTCAGTGAACCAGGTTTCATTGTGCCGTTCATGTGTTCACATCTGTCCACAACTCTGTGTTATTAGTGGTTGTTTGTCCTTTCTGGTCCAGATGTGGATTAGCTACATGTCTTGTGATTCCCTCCATGCTATGTATTTTTTGTGTGTGTCTGTGTGTGTGTGTCTTGAGTTTGTGTCATGCTGCTCTCGGCTGTGCTGCCGGACTCTGTGAAGTGAAATGAAGTGACACAATGGAGGTTTTAGAGATTGGGGACAGCTCTGTGTGTGTGTGAGTCGATATTCACGTGCATTTTTGCACAACACGCTGACAGAATCTCCAACGCCATACTGTGTGTGTGTGTGTGTGTGTGTGTGTGTGTGTGTGTGTGTGTGTGTGTGTGGTCTCTCTCTCTACCCTGTCATGTGTGAACGCTTTTGGGCCCAGAGTGTATTCACTAACTGACCTATATTTCTGGAGCTTTCTGCCTGTAGCTCAGGAGACTTTGTCTCTGTTATCTCATCTAGCCAATCACGTCCCCTAATCTCGTTTGTCCAATCACATCCTCGATCTCATCTGTCCAATCACAGCCTCGGCCTCGCGGGGGGAGTCATCCTCTGCTGCTGGAGATGCACTTGTGACTGACTGTCACTTTAAATATGAAAACACTCTCCATCTTCTGGCCCAAATAGGGGCTCGTGTAACTTTGACTTTCAACGCCGATTTCTCACGCTGCAACGCTGCAATCTTAATTATTCCCACCCCCCGGACTTGAAAGAAGACTGTATTTCTGTGCATATTGGCAGCTGGAGAAGAGGGAAAATTTTAAGCTTTTGAAAATTCTTTGAAGCTTCAGTTTTTTTGTTATCAAAGCTGCCTTTGTAGGCCGCATGAATTTTGCATGTGCAGGTTTAAGGGAACTTTGTGATGTGTCAGTGTGTGTGTGTGTGTGTGTGTGTGTGTGTGTGTGTGTGTGTGTGTGTGTGTGTGTGTGTGTTATTCCACCGTACGCAGTTCTGCACTCACTTAAGAAAGCGAGGAAAGAGGAGGGAATGTGAATATTGGCTGCCTGTCAGAGGAGATTTGGTTATCAGGAGGAATACACCAGTGATGGATTAATCTGTGCCAACTCTTTTTGGAAGACTTTAAATAAAGATATTACCTTGATAGCATTTGAGGCATCATGCAAAACAAATAAAACTATATGGTGATGATGTGATATGTTTGAGGGATTTGTAGTCCAGCTGTTGTAAACACAAATTTAGACAACATAAATGTTTGTATGGAGCACATGGTGGCTCACCTGGTACAGTGCACGCCCTAGAACCTAAAACCTAAAAAAACTTACCAGTTTTACCAATCTTCTCATGTTATTGTATAAAAAAGTCAGCCCTGCTCCCTTGTGTGTGTGTGTGTGTGTGTGTGTGTGTGTGTGTGTGCGTGTGTGTGTTGATGTGTCTATCACACTGTCACATAATGGCTGGGCCAACACAAGCTGAAAAGACTAAAGGATTGTTAATGAGGGATTTCACACACACACACACACACACACACACACACACACACACACACATCCACAGGAATGTCATCATTGATTTGATGGCAGCAGTGAAGAGTTTAAATATGAAGCATTGGAGCATTGAGAGCAGTTTATCATCAGTAAGATCTCTGGACGCAGTGAAATGTGTGTGTCTATCAGAGCACACAGTACAGGTGTGTTTCCAGATGTAGTCGGCAGGTAAACCACACGCTGCCTCCTTTCCTCCCCCTCAGTGTTCATGTCAGTACTGTGCTGACTGTGACCAATAGATGGATGAGTTTAAAGCCTGTAAAAGCCCCTTCTTCCTCTCTTATTAACGTCCAGGGTAAATGTGCAGATTTCTCCTGTTGTGTTGTGTGTGTTTTTTGTGTGTGTGTATGTGTGCGTGTGTGTGTGTGTGTGTGTGTGCGTGTGTGTGTGTGTATTAACTATGTTGTTAAAATGTTGAGTTTAAGCTTTAATTTAGGAGTGTTTGCATCCATATCGGGTGAACAGTGTTAAACATTGTAGCCATTTTTATTCATAGTCCCACCATCTCAGGACCTTGATAGTAAGATCCATTTTATGGCTCAGAGGAGAATATTTCTGATTGGCCCCGTCAGTCACATGATTAAAATCCAAGAAATCAATAATGCTGAAGACCAAAGTGAAGGAAAAAAAACCCCAAAACAAGTAAGAAGTGAAGCTTGTTGCAGTACCAAGGTACAAAGTGTTGATGCTGATTATACGTAGAGCAGTGGTTCCTACCGCTCAGTCTATTTTTAATAATGTTAATCTGCCAATCTACAGTACAGACAGTTATGGAATAACAAATCTTATGAGACGGGGATCCCTGAGACTACATCTTATCATATAGGGGTCAGTGGTCTGACGTGTATCGGTTTGGGGGTCTTTGACACCAAAAAGGTTGAGAACAACTGCTTTAGAGCCTCCATTACTGCAAAGTATGTGACACTAAATATTAAATAAATGAATTTAAGTTAATGGTAACTAATCTAATTACCTGTCCCCTAAACTGGCAGGACTGTGTATAAAAATAGACTTTGATCCAATACTGTTCATCTGACACAGACCCTCATATTACATTTCACAGCTCCTAAAACCTGAAGCAGAAAGTCAGCTGCAGGAGTCATTTGCTAACTGACCATATATTTTTTCCATTGCTGGTTATTGGGCTGAAACCTTCAAAAACACACACAGCTACAGTCCTTGAATCTTTGTGCTGAAGTGGTGTTGCTGTTGTGAGGTCGGCCGTAATGATTTTATGAAAGAAAAGTCATTTCCATGCAGGTTGCGGCTTATCAAGCTAGTTTATTCCTGAAATGTAAAGTATGTGGCCTAACAAGTGGCTACACTTGAACTCTGTATGTGTTTGTGTGTGTGCGCGCTCCGTTAACCTTTCCATTCCATGCTTAAAAAAATGCGTGCACACATTTATATACACACATCTACACGTGTCTTTGTCTCCATTTCTCTCTGTCTGCCTCCATTTCCATTTAATGGAGGTAGAGGGGGGAGGGGAGCTGGAGGGTGGTGGTGGGGGGTTTCAGGTTGAAAATTGCAATATGTATTTATGTTTCTCTGTATGTGGTTGCCTAGCAACAGCAGAACGAGGGTATTTACAGTTAATAAAAAGTGAGTGACATTAGCTTGGTGTATTAGAGGTAAAGCACTAATTTGCTTTAAGAGCTGGAAAGAAAGGCGAGGGTGTGTGTGTGTGTGTGTGTGTGTGTGTGTGTCTTTTGTGCATAGTGACTAATAAATGCTTCCACACCCAATCTATATAGGCACACGTGTGTGTGTGTGTGTCTATTGTGTGTATATGCATAATAAGCACTCCCCCCCCCGCCTCGTCTTTGTAGATATTTCGGTGTGTTTCTGTTTGTGTGTGCCTGCACAGCCTTGTCTATTGTGTATGTTTGCGCTCTCACGCCATTGTCTATATATAAATGTGTGTGTGTGCGTGTGTGTGTGTACCTAAAAAGAGCTTCCATGCCTTTGTCTGAATGTGTGCACACAAAAGGTATTTTGTTTTATTATTGTGTCAGTTTTCATAAAAAACAAAAACAACATAAAAATATAACATCATTTAATAATACGAACTGCTTTGTGCTGCTATTTTCAGTTTTGTTTTTGTTGCTGTTGGGCGAGAGCTGTGGAGGCTGTGCATCAGCAAAATATGTCCTGCGGGAAAACCACTTTGTCATTCATGTTCCTCACCCTTCAAAAACACAACATAATGGCTCCTTTAAAATTGTGTCCTCGTGTAAAATGCTGCATTTTGAAAAACAAGGCTGGAGATATTTTATCCTGTGTGACAGTATTTTTGTTTTACTTTGTGTTCTAGCGGCTGTCATCTGTTGTTTTGATGGTAAACATGTCAGCTTGCATTAATATCACATCTCTTCTCTTCTTCACAGGCTTTGAAAGCATCTTAGAAGGCTTGTTTGGGCCGGGACTAGTCAAAGATATCACCCTTTTCCAAGGTAAACATGCTCAAACACACAAACTAACACACATGCATTTGCAAATACAACTTTATATAAAGTCATCTGCAGCAACTGTCAGCATGAACGAAATAAAACAAATTAATAAACAAATCCCGCAATATGAAAACAGGCTTTTTCTGCCAATAGTGTTGTTTACAAGGAATTAAATTATTATTTTCTTCTCTGGATTGCATTTTTACCTTTTGCCCGTACGTTTTTTAAAATCATTGTTCTGCATGCATGCTTTTCATCAGAAGCTGAGCTCTTAATGTAGCTCTCTGTTTGTTCATTGTGACAGACTGAATGGATGTTCAGTGAATATACTCAAATGACAATGAGCAGAACAGCATCTATTTATTGATCTTTTATTTCCATATTCACAGAATAAACCGTTTAGAATACATAACAAAATGATTAATTCATGCTACAGCCATGTTTAATTTATGGTGAACTCTGGGAGAACCTGACAGATGTCACAGAATGCACGGCGTGGCCGGGCCAGCTGAAGGTAATGAAGCTGGTTTCTGGGGTCTCTTTGACTGGTTTCAACTGGGCTGAGATGTTCTGATTCTTGTCCAGATGCTAAATGAGAAAACACTGTTTGGTGGTTCAGCTGGGAGCATAGCCAGTCTGTCTGGTCTGGTACTGTCTTTTTTGTGTGTATGTGGCAGTTAATGTTACAGATTGAACAATTCTATTCATTTAGGATTATTTTCAGTATTTATTTGACCTGTTTCCACAGCAGGCAGCTCAGAGAATCATTAAAGGAGGTTCAGACTCACTGACAGGAGGATGAGCATCTCAAGAGAAATAACTTTGCTGCTTGAAACAGAAATGAAAACAAATTTTTAGTTGTGTTAACGTCCGTTTCTACTGCAGGAACTTTCTACAGGGACTAGGAACCTTCGGAGGAATGCCGTGGGTTTCCACGGCAGGGACAGGGTCTAAATCAAGTTATTTTATCCCCACAGAAAGTCCCTGCTTGGGGGTAGTACATTTGTGATTGGTTCATTTCAGCCAGACATCTTCTGTCAGTCTGTAGCTGCACACCATTTTGTTTTTGGTGCTTGGACATGTCACCACTTTAGCTCATTATAGACTAGAATACAAAATTGTTAGATGGAAATCAACAAAGAGACAACTTTACTATTCTTAGATCCTAACCCCTATTTATTTTCTTTCTACTGTGGATCCTATGTTGGACAGACACACCATACGGCCATACAACTATAGCAAAACAATCAAACAGAAGTAGTTGTTGCTTTTGTGTTTGTAAGTATTCATCACTAAGATTTAGGGATGTACAGAAACATGTCAGGATGCTATAAGAGCTGTGTGTGCATTCATGTATCATTCATTTGTCTGTAAGTAATGTTGCACACACTGGGGAAATAACAATATGTATGTATGTTTGTTATTTAGGAGGCACAGAGCCCCAGAGCCCTGTGTAAAGGAAATATAGTATGCACTCATAAAATATGGTAGAAATCACCAAAACCGTCACGAGTCTGATTCACTGTCCCTCTGTCAGAGAAGGTTTCCTGCTCTGAGAGACAGCGATCGAATATTAATGTGAGAATAAAGCGAGCAAAGACCTAAACACCCTGAGCTCTCTCTTTCTCTCTCTCTCTCTCCTATACTCTCTTACACACTCTCTCTCTCTCTCTCTCTCTCTCTCTTCTCTCTCTCTCTCTACACTCTCTCTCCCTCTCTCTCTCTCTCTCTCTCTCTCTCTCTCACTCTCTCTCTCTTACTCTCCTACTCCCTCTCTCTCTCTCTTACTCTTACTCCCTCTCTCTCTCTCTTTCTCTCTCTCCTCCAATCACGGAGAAACAAGGTCACCATGGTGTCCTGGAGTCATGTGACCCCTCCCCCACCAACTTAAGGCATTTTTAGAATATTTCTGGCTCATCTACATCATTTTTTCCTCATGCATTACCATTGACACACAGAAACACACACACACACACACACACACACACACACACACACACACACACACACACACGCACACACACTAAAAGCAGGCACTTGCTTATCTACGAAGCTGCAGACAGTGGAATCTGTGTAGTTTACACACACACACACACACACACACACAAAAAAACAAACAACACAAAATTTCATAAACATGTTACACCTTTAAAGTTCCATTTTGGGCATTAAAACATTCACACACTCACAGGGAAATAAAAGCCTTTTATCAAATTATTTTCCCTCAAAGGGCCCTTATCATCTTCTATATCAGTGATTAGTGATTTCCTGCATTTCCCAGAATGTGGCACAAAGAAGGGGCCTATGGTTCTTTCTTCTTTCTTGTGCTGTTGCCTTCACTGCAGTCAGTCAGTCCTCATCAAGCTGAAAATGACCATGTGACCATGTTATACATTATGATATTTACAGTGATTATCAACGTGTGTTGTTTCTGTATTGCTTCCTGGTGTATTTCTGTCTGTGGGTGCAGAAATCGGTTTCTCGGCCTGAGATTAATTTCTGCTGCGATTGTTGAAAACGTTAAATGTTGACAGTTGCAGTTTTAGAAACAAAGTCTTTGTAACTCTGTCTGAGCACTAAAACATGATGTTTACAGTAGATACTGATACCAGACTCCATCCAACTGCTGTTTGGAATAATCTGTCTTTGACAAGCTATAATCAGTGCAGAAAAAATCATCAAACAACAAACTGGAGCCAGAAATGTTTCCTTCATTTATTGTTTTTATTTTCCACTTGCACATACAGACAGACGAGTGCTGAGGGAGTGTGCACAGAAACAAATTTCAATTAGCTTTCTCTCACAGACACACTCCATATTTCCAACCAAAGACAACTACTTGAAGTGTATTAGTGATAGTAAATACATGGTACAGTAGACATGACAGGCTTTGTAGTGAGAGAGAGTGGATGAGCTTTATAAGCTGTGGAAATGTTTATATTTTAGTCTTAGTCAGACTTTGGATCTAATTGTTTTGGATACAATGATTTTACTTTTTTGTCTGCCCTCACTGCTGTCACAATGCTACAGTCTGATGTCTTTTTCATGCACAAGCTCAACATATACAAACTGCAGAATCCTGGTTACGCGTCTATATCATCGGCTGTATAGATAGAGATCTAGACCTAGAGATCTATATACAGTATATTAACCAGGTGTCTCGCAAATAAAGAATGTGTTTCTCCATTACGTGATGTTTAAGAAACCAGGTTGCTGCAGAAACAGTAACTGATTAATTAAATGCATGTTAACACAGCGACTGTGGAGCAGGAACACACACACTTAAAGCTTCATGTAAACAGTGTCTTCCTCAAGCTCACAAAACACACACACACACACACACACACACACACACACACACACACACGCACACAAGCACACACACAGAAACTTGACTACTGTGAGGGTGGGGGGGTCACGTTAGCAGTGGGACTGGAGCTAATTGGCGCCTTCCCAGGGATATTGTAAGTGGCACAACCGCAGGGTTCAAGCACAGCTCACCTTTGACCTTTTCATTACAGCGAGAAACAGAGATAGAAAGAGAGAGTAATAGACTGTCCCTTTATCTGTTGCATGTCTCACCGGAGTGTGAGCGGAAAGTGGACTGTGAATGGAAAAAACAGAGATGTGATCTGCTGTATTATAAGGAGCAAAGCATGTATTAACTGTTGCTTGTACACACACACACACACACACACACACACACACACACACACACACACACACACACACACAAAGTGGATTAAAAGGGTTTCAGATAGAAAACTAATACAGTGTGCAGTGACCTAACAGGCCTCGTACGGTCCCTCTTGTGATTTGTAATTACTGCTACTGCTACTTACCAGTAGTCTTTAGGGTTGTTAAAGGGACCATATCTGTGTTTTTAAAAAGCAACTTAACAGCAGCTGAAAATGTAAATCTTGTTTTTGGCTAATCACCAGTGATTGGACTTCAACAAGCAGCAGTGTAAGAGTGCAATCCTGCTACATTATTGTTGCATGGCAATACATGGCTATAAGTCCCTTGACACTAGATGTCGCAATAGAGCACCAGCATCTCAGACCAAAACAATAGGCGCCACAGCTGGCCAGAATTTCACATAATCATAAAACACACTTTAAACTGTACAGGTTTGATTCAAATAAACCCTTTATTCCCAGAGTTAGAGTAGAAAATAGTCCCGAAATGGGCTGCTATGGCCGCCATGCCATATTGTTTAACCAGAAATTGCCATGATATTTAGGTATCTATCGTTCACCACCAGACTCAATAGACAAAAAACTAATTTTACAATGCATATCATCGTAGCATTATAAAGTCATTCATAGTGGACAGAAATAAAACTCACCAAAACTGTCTTTGTTAGTCTTTCCACTGTTCCAACAATCACCAACCCCCAAATTATGAGTTTCAGTCGCTGTACGCAGCCGCACACGGAGCAGACTGGCTATGTAAACAAACCACAGAGAGGCTGCGATAGCAACACAGGCTCCACACATGACTCCACTATGTTTACACAGCAAATAGGTGTTTGCGGCTCTAGTGATATTCTAAATCTCATATCTAACCTTTAAGATTTGAGATTGATGAAAGTCTATACTGCATTACTACAGAAGAGCATTGCAAAGGAAAACAAAAGAACAAAGAAATGGATGATTTCTCATAATAAGGACTCAAGTATCTTATAATTATCATAATAATGAGATCCTTTATCTGAGAATTGCACATTCATGCATTACATCATAACGACAATGTTACTGTGATGGATGACACAGTTCCAGACTTTTATGTTGTACAGAAATGAATGGAAACCAACAACTGCACAGAGCAGTAGAAATAAATCCAGTGTGGTTTTATTAACTATTTAGTTAGCTGTGATGTGAAATATAAATCTGCTAAATACTATTATTATTAATTAGTTTATCTGACAGTTTTAGTCCCACGTGTTTTGCATCTCAGAAATCAGGATTATATTTTTATTTTTGCATAAAAAATGCAACATTTGCTGCATTTTGGCTGGAAGTCGGCTGACAAACAAAACAACAAGGAGACTCAAATTCAACAAAAGTGGGAAAAATGTGGAAAGTTAATGATATTATGAACGTGCATGGATATGGTTTGGAGTATTTCATCTTTGAACAGGCTCAAATAAAGTTGTTACTGTAAGTTAAGTTTTAGTCACATCTGTAGATGATTCTTGAGGGAAACACAGACTCTGTTGAGCCAACCAGAAATACTGGGTTTAAATTCCTAAATCACAAAAGGTCTTCAGGTAACAGGCCAGCAAACACGTTTTAGCATATCGCTGTTGACACCTTGTGACTTATTTGCTTATGTTATGGCGAAGGATGATGAGAATATTCCGCCATCCTCGGGGCTCATTTTAAGCTTCAGCTGCTTTTCTAAACTGCTGAAAAGGTGACATTTTGGAGATAGGAGGTTCTGATGTGACACATACTGTGTGTTCACAGTATATTGTGACCATATTGATTTTGTTCTTGTGTTTCTGTGTTCTCTCGCATTCTCTCTCTCTGTGGAGCTGACTCGACCTTCTTTTTCCTCCTCCTGTCTGTAACGCACTCCTCCTTTCCTTCTCTCCTCAATGCTTTCACTCTTTCACTGAATCTCTCTCTCTCTCTCTCTCTCTCTCTCTCTATATATATGTATATATATATATATATATATATATATATATATGTCTCTTGTCACTCAGTGGTGATGTGGTTTCGGACTAAACTGAGGGTTTTAAAGTAGCACCATGGCAACAGCTTAGCTGTATCCAAGTCGACAGCTATCTCCTCTCTCTCTCTCTCTCTCTCTCTCTCTCTCTCTCTCTCTCTGTTCAGAAGGTGCTCTTCTGGTAAAATGCATCTACATTTTGAAGGATGTTGGACACCCGCCAAATGGTGATTTTGTGCAGTGGCGGGTAAATAAAAGTCCTGTAACAGTACGATTTGTGACATTCCACAATGCAGATTGAATCACGAGTCTGCTTGTTTCACTCAGACACTTTAACGAGGAGACACGGAAAAGCAATGTGCCGTTACATTGCTGAGGTCTGCAGAGAAAACCTCCCAGGAGGAGACACAGGCCAAAGAGGCAAAGGTCATAAAACGTTTTTTTAATGAGAACTGGAGAAAAAAACGACAATACAGAGTCCCCTGATTGGTTAGTTTACAAGGAGACAAGCCAGACAATGTTATGTTGTTGTTACAACTAATAGTTTCAATATTGAGACTTAAAACCTTAAATTGGAAGCCATAAAACACCACCAGTTGTCCAAATGCCACATCCAGGTCAGAAAATCTGCCTCGGACAATAAGGAGTTTGTGTGTGAGTGTGTGTTTCTGACTTAGGCTCCCTTTGGGGACACATTTCAGACTAAAGACCAGTTAATTGGCTATGGCTTGTCCGATTGGGGACAAAAGCTGTGTCCCCAATTGGGAAAAGGCTGATTTTTGGGTCAGTGGTCAAGGTTAGGGGTTAGAGGTTGGGGATAGGGTAAGTCTCCAGGAAATGAATGTAAGTCTATGTAACAGTCACTTCTCCCACACGTCATCTCATGCACACCATAGCTTGTGCCGTAGTTGCCTGTAGTTCCTCAAAGGAAACTGATTGGTCTAAACCACTGTGGTTGAAGCCTGGCAAGATGGATTCTGGTGGGATTTCATGATCTAGCGAGTCCAGCTGCCTTATAAGGTTAACACACTGCTGTTTAAAACAAGAAAATGGCTGGTAAAAACATTGAGTGACTGGTAGATTTTGGAATCCACCACCCACTGATTAAGACTCATACATGTATATAAGCTGTATAACTACACAATACAGAACTGAAATGAGTGAACCAGTGAACTTGAACTGACAGTTGACATCATCTAAATCAATCATGCCCACAAGCACAGGTTTAATATTGATATGAGCAACCACTGATGATAATTGTGAGATTGTTTCTTATTTCAATTCTGTATGAATCAGCAAAGGATGTGATTATTTAATGTCTTTAGAGATTCTTGACATACGATTTTGTTTGTGCTTTTACCACGTAAGGAATGAAGGCTTTTATGGTTCCTAACTTCAACACTTCTTCACTTAAACCATGAAGTAGAGGTCTTCACTGGTTTTGGAACTGATCTAACCAATAGAAAACCTACGTAAAAAGAATTAGTAAATTAATGAAATAAATAAATTTTCAAAGACAAACACCTGACCGGAAAAGTCAGAACAGAAGACACTTTGAACCAATCCAAAATGCAGTTGAGCTAACACCAACAGTGGCAGCACCGGCGGCACCTGATGCTCCACCAATTAAGGAGCAGCGATACATGTCATTTTTTCCTCACTTCACATTTCACACTCTCCATCTAGTGTCAAAAAACACATTTTCCTGCTGTGAATGTTGTGATGGCCACGATCAGAGCTGATAATGAGTCTGCTTGGATGCACGCCATACACAGAAGACCCTGACCCTACCCACGGCCAATTAGACTGACATCCATTTGGACTGTTCTAACGTGGGTCCTGTGTCAGATCCCAGTTACCAGGGTTAGGGAACTGAGAGGACTTTAGAAAGAACTCAAGCAAGAAGTGACGAATTGTTAAATATTACTTACTTATCTTATAGTATACATATACGTTAAGTATAATCTGCAAACCATTTCCTCAATTCATCTATTGATCTATAAAAATAAGGTATATAGATAGCCATCACATTTTCCTGTCCTTTTTGACATTAAGAAAATGTCTTGTATTGTCTGACCCACAGTAAAAAACCCAAAGTAATTCAGTTTTCCATTAAATAAAACAGAGACCAAATTTTGAGACCATAGCGAAGCTGTAACCAGTGAACCAGAGAATGTTTTTCTTAAAAAATACTCTCTCTGCTGACTAATCACATACTTGACTAATCGTTGCACCTCTAAAAGAAATTAATGAGCATTTACATTTTTTTTATATTTTATTGCATTCATTCACGCACAAGAGGTTTGCACAAACAATATACTTTTCCCCCTAGATCTAACATTTTCAAAGGTGCCCAACGATGAAATTCTGCTCTATTTAACTAGGATTTGTTTTGTTTTTCACCACCACTTTATACATTGTATTGCTAAATTATCCAGAAGACTCCTGTGTACATTTATGATGTCAAGCAAACTTTCAAATGTGAATTTACCTTTAGAGCCAGAAGCTCTCCAGTTGATGGAGATGTGGGAGGATAGCTGTGAGGAGACAGAGGATTGAAGGCAGGATGTTTCAGTTTCATGATGTGCAGCAACTGAACTACCTGGAGACAGTGGTGAATTTCTTCAACCTGCTGAACATGAAGAGAATGCAGTCTTGGAAAGGGGCAATTAGTTATTCACAAATAGGGCTTTAGGGCATGAATACTTTAAAAACAGATACAGATACACACACACACACACACACACAGGCATTCATGCTGTGTTTGTGGTCTTTAGGCAACGATATATTCAATAGTGAATTGAGCTCATCTGTCAATCACAGGAGTACTTCGTTTTTTGCACATCGTACTTGACATATGAAGTTAGTCATCGCTGTAATTTAATCATTGGCTGTAATTAAAAGTGAATCATTGTAGTGCTCTGGTTGTTGTGGTTTGTGGGCCTTCAGCTGTCACTCTCTGCAGGCTTGACTGGATGTTGAATTAAAACAGACACTTTCTCCATTGATTCATCTACACCTCATTTACAGCTGGTTTTAAGATTCAACTCGTATTTAAACTGGACTTAACCTAAAAAAAACACACACAGTTAAAACAAAACAGAAAACATGAACCTAAAACAGGACCGGAGATAAAAACGGAGTTGGGATTTAGGACGTGCATCAAATTGGAAGACAGTGGGGAATTATGGGAGTTGGAGTCATCATTTAATATGTTGCTTTCTGTCCCCCTCTCTTATCCAGACTGCGAGCCCGAGGAAGTGTCTGACTGGTCCTTCGATGAAAACTGTCTCTTCTGCTGCATACGACGCGAGAAAGTCAAGGTAGGAGAACTCTGACATAACTGTCAGAAAGTTGTGGGTGTTATTGCTTTCGCCTCGCAGCATTAGGGTCCTGGGTTCAAACCGTGTGAGCTTTCACATTCTCATGTTCACGAAGGTTTCCTGACCATGTAAATGCATGGAAGGAAGCATACTGCCCCAACAACAGTGGTCTAGCGGCGCTTGAATAAGTAAGCATACTCTTAATTTATGCCCCCAATTCTTTTTAAAGCGGCCCAACCAGCAAATGACAAATGCTGTATTCTTGCATATTTAGCACACCCGAAATTGGGCCAGCAGTATTTGCACATTGTCACTGAACTAATGCTGCCTCCCTTCAGGGAGTATGAAATTAACATTAGCCACGGAAGAGGCACATATTTTGCCATCGATACTGGCCCGCAGACAGGGGATGCCTTTGCCATCCTAGGAAAAAAAACAAAATCAGCTCACAGAACACTACTGAATGATGCACATCCGAGGAGATTTAGAAGTGGGTATCCTCTGTATATCTATGTATACCCTGCACTACACCACTGCCCAACAACCTTCAACAATAAGGTAAGGTAGTCTGAATGTAGCCTGAGAGGCAAGACCCAGGGCAAAAAGTCCCTGAAGCACAATCAAAGCACCACTGCAGCTTGTTAAGCTCGCTGCTTTGCACTCATGGTAATAATTGATGCCGACTCAGATGTATTAACATTTATAACATCCCCGGTGGAAATTACGCTCTTGATCAAAGTATCTGTCTTCTCCTTGGACAGTTTCACACTTAAATGTCAACAAATTTCCTCAAAGATATTAATAAGTAGAAATAGAACTTGAAGGAATAGTTTGACATTTTGATACACTCTCTCAGATATCTCTCCGCTTTCTCCCGATGAGAAGATGGATATCACTCACATATCTGTATGCTAATTAATAAGAGGCTAGAAATAGCAGGCAATTTCCTTAGCTTAGCATAAAGACTGGAAGATTAAACAAATGACAGATAGTGTTAATTAGTAAAATTTAAAGTTGAGAATGTTTCATTGTAGACTAATTCTGCTTCGTACAAAATAATTTGTTTTTGTGTGCCGCCATTTTTGAGCTTTCTGTTGGAAGCTCTGCATCTTTGTCGCTCCTCCTCTTTCTCCTCCTGCATACTTGTTATTTGTGTTGTTCAGCTATCAAGGTCTTGACCCCAATTTAGCTTATGAAAGGAACGCGACGTAATGATTTGGAGGTGTGTGCGTATATACATATATGTATATTTGTGTGTGCGTGTGTGTGTGTGTGGCAGGAGGACGAGGATGGTGACATGGGTGTAAATTAGCGAGACTTTGGTGCCTCCCCTCAGAGTTTCTCAGAAAAAGTGATCAGAGCAGAATAATAATGAGTTTATTGGACCGACAGCTGCTTAATACACTTACCCATATGCACATACGTGGACATTGCGGTACCCTCATCTGCGTCTTCTGCTGCAGACAAAGCAGTCACGTGACGCAGCCGCTCAGGCCTCCACTCTAACGCGAAAATGAAGAACAAAAAGAGCAGGGGTGTTTGGGGGGAAACTGCAACGGCTCCTGTTTGATTCCAGACATGGACCCTTACTGCATGTCTCACCTCATCACCATACTGGGCATTAGAAACACCAAAGGGTACATGTGGATAAAGAGACAAATTAATGAAGAAAATCCAAGTGTCACAATAGGGAGGATGAGATCACTGGCTCTTGGACACATTTTAATAAGGGAAGTTGATGGAAACACGCACTGATTCAGGTGTTTGCTTAAAACTTGTCCAACAGTTTAATTGAAACGAAGCGTCTGTCTGTTGCTTTAAGTCTGGAATTTATTCTCACAGGTTAACAATCTCAAGGTCGTTTTTGGAACTTTTGACTGTATCACATGGTCTCCATCTTCTGCTCAAACATTCTTTTTAAGGACTGCTTGTCCACGTTTTCCATCTCCCTTATTTTTGGGATGTGACTGAACAAGTGAATGAGGGAGGGAAGGAAGTTAGGAGGGGGCGTCCTTCCCGCGACCGTTACTTGTTTTTCAACTTGACCTCAGTCCGACCTGCGAGGTCGGCCATCTGTCTCCTAAAAACATCCTTGCTTCACACAACCGCCCCCCTCCATCAACCCCCCATCTGTCCCTCTCTGTCTCTGTGGACCTCTCTCCATCTCTCTCTCTGTTCACGCTAATGCTTGCAACAGCACATACTTGTGGCTACAGCTCTCATCGCTATCACTGTATATGAAATATACACTAGCACAACAAAGTTCCTGTGTGTAGTACAGTAATTACAGAGGAGACTAATAAAACTAAAATAAAATCTAAATCAATCAACGAAACAAAATCAATTAAACAAAGCCTAGCAGGGATTAACATCTTCTCAGCTGTGTTGTCCAACCGGTCAATAATTATTTTAGCCACTCAGAGTGTGCAAATAGTAATATGACAAATAATAAGGCAAAATTTGCAGCTGCCTTAATTGTATTCATCTCCTCGCTCAACACAATTTTCATCTTTTATTCATCCGTTAAGGCTTGAAAGCTCTCTCTGTCTTACTGTTATTACCCTCTGCTTGTTTGTGAAATGCCAGAGGAGCTTCAGTGGGCGGGAACCATTGATTCATTGATCTGAGGCCCTGCAGACTGCCAGCAGATAGAGAGAGCCGAGGGGGTTAAAATAAAGCGAGGATGGCATAATGAAAGCCTTAAAAACACATTCTCATCTCCATTTGTTGCTTTGTCTCTTGCCATTGAGGCAAAGAGACAAACACAAAGTCCCTGCTTAGTGCTGTAAAGACAAGCTGGTGACACACTCATTACAGCTAATGCTAACAGTGGGGTTAATCTCTTCTCTGATTCAGAGGAAGCATTGAATCACATTCCCTCTTTGCGGTTGTTTCGTTCATAAAATTCTCTCATTGGCTGACTAGTGTCTTGTCAGGCTCAAGACCTTTATGATATCATGAGGAAGCCAACTGATTGGCTGTCGGCTTGAAAAGCCCCGCCTCCAACAATGGCACCTCAGTAGAGAAGTGAGCTGTCCTGCCACCACTTCTACCTGTACTGTCACTTTATTGGTTATTGGCCAGCTCGTGTTCACATGATACTTTCATATAAACCTTTTTTTATTCTGTACAGTGGCTCAAGCTACTTAATAATCACATTCATCTTTTTTTTACAACCTAGTTATCCTTCCCCTCCTCGAAATCTGAATTCACAGCAGTTTGTAAAAGCAGACCAGACGAGTAATTTAAAACAAAGAATTACCAGTGGATTACCACAGTAATCCCCACCAAAAATAATTAATATAATTTAAAACAACATCTTAAAATTGGCATGGACGTAATGTAATTGGCAATTGTCTTTTCGCTTGTTAATAACTAATATGATTTGTCAATCAGCACAACATACACACAATTAAATTATATCAATTCATATCAAAATTAAAACACACACACAATTATGTAGTGCTGAATAAAATATAAATCTATACATTAGTCAATCAAAAGAAAATTACTTAAACATTTAAATTACCTTTATTGTTTGTCATTTTCCAAGGAGAATATTTGCAGGTTCCACCCTCTAAAACGTGAGGATTTCTCTGTTTTGTATCACTGTAACTTTAGAATCCTGCAGAAAATTATTTGAGTAATCAAATAAGATATCGTTGACAGGTTAATCAATAATAGTAATAATAATATTTGTGTGTTGCACCCAACAATTCTGAATGTGGATATTAAAAAGCATAACTTCTAACCAGATTTTAGCCAGAGAAATGTAGTCAAACCAATATAAACATATCAGACCGAAGTGCAACCACAAGACATGATTCTTTATGAGCACTACCTTTTCTCAACTAGGAAGAAAATCTCTATGTGTGTCTATAACCTACCATCAGGCTGGGTTAGGGTTAGGATGGAGAGGTGTGAATGCACATCTAATTGCTTGCAGAGCTGAGCAGAACCATAGACACCTACAGCTGGACACGGTTGAACAATCCAGATGAGACACGACTAGCGGTGGAGGGAGTGATGTGGAGGTGTGTGAGGGGTTTATCTTTTGACAGAACAGGTCTTTACTCTCTGCTTTGTGTTTGTGTTTGTCTTGTAGGAGCACAGCGTAGAGAACGGTGGAGGCAGCCAGGTGCTGTCGGAGTGTGAAGACTTCAAACAGGAGCAGTCTCGGATCAGCCGGCTGGAGAGACAGGCCCAAGACTTCCTCAATGCTGTGTTCCACAGAAAAGGTAGCGCACAGTTTTCAGCTGATACCATAACCCCTAATTACCTGCTTCTCATGACCGATACCAATAAGATAACTTATAATTTCACATTTTTGTATTTTAAAAAGAAGTTAACCTGTAGTTTTTACACACTTTAGGGTTTTGCATAAGAATTGAATAAGAATTAAACAATAAATTATTATTAATATCAACCAATAAATTATGACATTTAATTAACCCAATAAATAATAATACAATAATTTATTTGGGAATTTTAGTTTATTGTGTATTTTAGAGATGTATTACATTTAATTATTTCCCATCCCAACTGGAGTTGAACCCAGTCAATTTATAATTAATATTTTTTTTAGAATTCTTTTAGGATTGGACTATGGAATTGACCACAGTGGGAATCAAGCTTTTTACTGCTTTTCATTGTAATACAATTGGCCATTGTTTTTTGCTTTGTAAAATGAAAGTAGAGAGAATGTTGTCATCTGCATAGAAGAAACTTCTAGTTTTTATTTAAATTGTCTTTAATGTGTGTCCACATTTTTGACAATTCTGGCCTGCAAAGGTGTCAGCTGTACTTTTTTTTGGAGTGCTTAGTTGCACCAGATTATTGATTACAAAGATGTGAACTATAACAGTTTTTCAGGTGATAAAACTATGGGCTTTGTCTGACTAAAGTCAGTGTTTTTGTTTTACCTGAGTTGTGGAAAACTATGCACCGTGCACAAATTTAAGACCTCTGTACTCCTAATCGGGGACTACACTTCTCTATTAGAGAATGATGTGTGAAGTTGTGTGTCATCTGCATAATTATGACAATTTGTGCAGTTTGGATAAAAAGGGGACCAGGGATCGATTCCTGAGGGATACCACTTGTAACTTTTTCCAAGTTTTACAATTGGAACAAAGACATTTGTGCCCTCCAGGTAGACCCTAAATCAGATAAGATCTGGGCCAGAGAGGCCGACCCACTTTTCCGACCTGTACTAACAGTGCCATTATTACTATGGGAGGCCATGTGGGAAACTCTGTAGAAGGTTATTTTACATGGTAGTCTTGGGTAGAGCTGATAATGATAAACTACTGCTGAATCTGGGAGGGTGGAGACTTTGCCACATCAGTTGACTGTGCACCAATCCCAAGGAGAGCCTCCACAATACAGACCATGAACACAGCTAGAACTATTAGGCTGGTCACCAGAGTGCTAATCAGAGCCAGGCTGAGCCTTTTGGGGACCCTAAACAGAATCTAAAAAGGCATGACAGAGTGTCTGGGCTGACTAGCGACCAAAAATGAAACCAGGGGAGATGTCCAGTTCACTGTAGGACTAACTGTAACTAGTCACATGAGAATTGCAGAACTAATTTTTAAGAGCCAAATATAAAACTGCATCTTGGTTGTTAAACTTGAAGCAACATTAAGAAATGTTAGGGCTGGACCCTTCAGGCCATTTAGGAAACATTGTTTATTTAGGAGTGTTTTAGAAAAGTGTTTATCCAGCTTTATAATAATTTTGAAGGATGTGACGTCAGTTTGTGATGCTCTTGAACTGTATTGTATTACACAGAGATGGGTTTCTCTTATTTAGTCCTGTATAAACAGGGTGCACAAAATAATAGAAACACCTATCAGTATAATGCCATAAAATGTATCATTGCCACAAACACAAGGTTCCCACTCTTTTTACGAAATTGTTTTCCAGGTCAATTTTTTAGGTATTCCAGGTTTTCCTGGTTGCACCTAATAAACTGGCAACTGGGTGTATGTCATGTCCCAGACGTGATATTTTTCACTAATAGTTCATGACCCATAAATTGCCATTAAAACAGCTAACTGACCAAAGTCGTTAGTAAATTTAGATAAAAGTGATGTATGACTATGAATGCTTTCACTTTCATTCTGGCACTTGTATTTACGTACATGCACTATAATCTTTTGTGCAAGTCTCAAATCAGCACCCATTCAAAGTCAGAATATTTGCTGAGTTGCCATAATTACCTTCAAACAGGGAGTGTATCATGTTCTGTCCTGAGGCAGGCAGCTATTTTGTGACAGAGAGCTGAGCCTGGTAGACGGTAGCTTGTGTTGTGTTTTTTCCGGGAAGGAGAGAGGGAGGAAGCAGATGTCTGTCCAATCAATGCCTGGCTCTAATCAATCTGGCTTCACTCACACAGGCAAAAGTTGCCTGTGGAGCTGCCATATATAGACAGAGGAACAGTCACAAAGGCATAGACATGATGGCACACACACACACACACACACACACACACACACACACACACACACACACACACACAGCCATTTATACAGACTTGTCAGAACACAGTAAGGCACACAAACACTAAAAGAAGTGCAAGTTCACCAACATGAAGAAAAAAGGCTCAGCAATGTGTTCTCATGCAACGTCAATGGTCTGCCATACTAGTAAATTTTTGTGATGATACAGTGTGGTTTAGAACATCTCAGTCAACAGTTAGCGTGTGCACTTTTTTGTGAACAAGTAATGTTCATTGGTCTAATGGACTACATACTTTGTAATTATTTCCTTGGTGTATACGTCTATGTATATAAATAATTATATATAGTTTTATATGTTATTCTGTTAATTTAATATATAATTATATTTTTCTATTTATGTAGCATGAGGACCTGCAAATGTTCATTGCGTTATATAGCATTGTGTTGTATAATGATAATACATGTCTTTGATTCCTTGAATCATGCATTAAACTCAAAACAAGTGATCAAAGTTTGATAACAGACAGAATTTTTGCTTTTCATTAAAGAAAGTATATAGGCTTCGGTTAGCAGCATTTACAACTTGTAAGTATTTTCAATTCCAGTGCACTGTACAGTATATGCTCCAGAGAAACATGCATGGGGGCAAACATTACATACCTTTTGAAACACTATCTATACCCTGTTTCTTGTTGTTATTTTGTTGTAAATTCAGTATTGACAATAATGCACAGTTTCAGATATTTCAAGTAAGATCCATCTATTTATTTTATGTCCTTAGACCACCGCCCTTCTGCGACATTATGTTGATTATGTTGAGAACCCATGATACATACACACAGAAAATTAAATGTATTCAGAATACAGATGTATGTGTGAGCTGCAGTCAGTTGCATCTGTCGACTTGCTGCCTCAGAAGGCTTCCTCTCTTCCTCTCTCCCGATCCCTCGGCTTTGTTGCAGCAAGACGAGACCTCTTGTGTACCTTTTCAAAAGCCTAGAGTTATACAACATCCATTTCCTTGCAAGCACACGCTGGGATTTCCCCAGGAGATTTCCCTAGGTGCCAGCATGAAATCTGTAACTGTTAAAATGGAGCTGTATAATTAGGCTACATTTCCAGGAAACAAACCCGCTTCCTGGGTTTTTGTTTTCATTTCAATGCCTGTTTGATTGCAGCGCACAGTGTATCTAGAATAACTTTGTGACTCTGTTAATTGCTTGAACCTATTGGGTCTTTGACAGAATACAAGGTACTTTAGAGTACAGTTAAGCTCTTTTATTGCCATGTCAACAAGATCATTTCAGTGGCAGGGATTACACCGTGCAATGTTTAGGTGGAGCACAGAAGTCAAATAACATTAACAACGGATTAAGCAATCTATCAAGAATAACAAATGGCAACAACACCTACACACATGTCTGTGGCACGGCTTTACAGCAGCTTGTGGTTGTCATAAAGTCACGGTTTATTGACAGAGAAGAACAGCAGAGCTGAAATAAAAAGCTTAAGTATTTGAAAGGCAGGAATAATAAGACTGCTTTGGTAGTTTCTGTATTTCCTTGAATTTGAGGTTTTAGTTGATCAGTCATTGAGTTTTTCCCACGTGTTTTATCACGGTCACTGCAGCTGACTGCGTAACGAGTTTGACACAAAACTGCTTTTATCCTCTGAAAAGTACAAAATATTTGTTATTCAGTAGAACTGTGACATGTGCCTAAATACTCTTAGAACATATTCTTGTAAGTATCATGTTTTTACTGAATATTGATTAAAGGAGTTCATGATTTTATGCAAGAGGATCTTTCTTTCTCATCTGTTTTCAACTGAGCTTATCACTATCATCTTTAAAACATCTCAGAACGGACAGATATAAATTGGTTTTATCTCTTTGTTTTCTTGCTGTGTTTAGAAGAGCCTCAGGCTGTTGTTGGCCTACAAGGAATCAAAAGTGGTTTTACAGCATTTGTCACACATTTACTTTGTAACCCTTAGTGCTCCTTCAGTTGTAGCCCTAATGTGATGAAATGGCAATCAAGCAATGAAACACCCAGAACTGGTACAAATGAGTTGAAAGAAATTGGAAATAACTGAAAATAACTTTGGGAAGAAGCAGTGAGTTAAAAACAGGAAGCATACTGGGAAAAGCAGCTTGTACCTGTTGTACACTGATATTATGGTGCTTTAACATTGCTCAATATGCAGGATTAATGCAGAATATATGTGATTTTTGGATTATTTCAGCATAGCTGTAGGATTAGATGTTTGGGCTGATGTATTGTTTGGAGGATTTAGGGTTTGATGCACTGACACACATGAAAGTATCCAAACAGTATAGCTGCTGGTTATAAAGAGATAAGTGCAGTTGATTTATCTGGGACAATGCCAGATTAATGCATAAATAACAAATGTGTCGTCATTTTCGCTGTTTTGCTCAGTGTGTATTAACCAATGAGATCAATGACCAGGGTTTGATGTGGGTTTGTTGTGTCACAGCAGGGGATAATGAAATGTTTGGTTTTGACATCTGTATTTTTTCCCAGACTCTTAGTGGTCTCCTGACACTTGTTGCACTTTGAAATAGTTCCTTTATAATAACGTATAGTTCACTTTAGTGAAATATGAATATATAACTGCAACAGGCACAGTGCCTTGATTAATGATAAAAGCAAACATTCAAACTGATGTTTTGATTTGTTTTAATACAGTACAATGTGATACATTATGATATGTTAGAAAAGGATATTATACGATACATCTGACAGTACAGTACAATACAGAAAGGTGTGATAGTAGCTGAAATTTCCTCCTGTTTGTCCAGCTTGTCTAAATAATAATCAGAAATCTTCAAAATTATTGATATTAGTATAGTGGAGAATGTACTATAGTAGTAAGAATAACACTGCTCTGAAATACAAGCTATTTAGAGGTGATAGTAGGGATGCAACAGTTACTTTCATTAGCTATTAATCTTTCAATTATAATTTTGTTTGATAGTTTAACGTATAAAATGTCAGAATATTGTGAAAATGCCCCTTACAGTCTTCCACAAGCCTCAGAAAAATTGCTGCAAAACAGAAACATACTCAATTTACTCTGACATAGAACAAAGAAAAGAAGCAAATTATCAAATGTGAGAAGCTGGAGACAGTGGTAATAATCTCCTGTACACACATGATATCACGGTGCTTTCATCACCGGCAATAGGCAGGATTTAATGCTGCTTCTGAGTGATTTTTGGCATAGCATCAGGATTACCTTTTCAGGATGAAATGGGATAAATAAACTGAACAGGGCAGTGTTTGCACAAATTCCTGGAGGACGTGATGCTAACATGTTTGTTACTCTGTTTTGTTTCTCTCCAGACCTCCCAAGTTTCTCAGAACCTCACATTCCTCTAGTGGCTCGTGAGATCATGCAGCGAATGATCCGCCAGTTCGCTGCCGAATATACCTCAAAAACTACTCAGGACGACTCGCCCCTGCCCAACGGCACCATGAAGGACCAAAGCCTGCCGAGAGTGGCGTCTCTGGCCCCGGCCCCATGCTCCCCACCTGGGCCCCTGCGCGTGCCGAGCTCCCCTCCATCGTCTGCCTCCTCCTCTCCATCCCCGACCCCAGGGCCGGGCCTCAGCCCCACCTCCGCCGCTGCTGCCTCAGCATCTGCCTGCAGCAACGGTACAGGAGCCAGTAATGGTGGAGGAGGTACGGCTGCTGCCTCTGCACAGAATCCCGTCCTCAGCAAGCTTCTCATGGCCGACCAGGACGGCCCACTGGACCTCTCCGTCAAAAAGAACCAGGACGACCCAGAGCCCAGCCAACAGGGTAAGAGCAACAACACACAAAGAAACTTGTTTCTGCCACCTTATGTTGACTTTCATTAATTCCTTCTATAATCAGACTTACCCTATAACCTACATATGACCACATCTAACCCAACCTTTATAGCTTCTAAACTTGAAGCTAAGAGAAAGCTGTAACCCTAAAATATATCAATAACCTCTTGGCACCAGCTTGTTGTCCCCAGATAGGGCAGTCCCCACAATGTGACTGTGTAAACAGAGTTCCCAAATTGCCATTAATTCAGATATTAACACACACTTGTTAATCAGGAGCATCCAGGAGCATTTCAACAATATTTAATCCTATGCAATTAAAGCATTTGTGCATTTAGCAGTTGTGTGGCGTTCCACCTGAATTCAGATTTGGCTACTGTTTGTTATTGGTAATTTAAAAAAAATAAAAAAACACATATATAACAATGAAATCTGGCAAACAGGCAGGGATAGCAAAAAACAATCATGTAAATATATGTATATTTATATATATATGAAAGGATAAATGAAAAATAAAATCAACACACAAAAATCAGGAAAAAAAACTGTAATTTTTGAGCTTATGTCTCTTTTAAACTCCGATTATCCTGCATTTTTGTGTTTTTGTTTCTCATTATTTCTCTCAAATGTTAGTAAAAGCCCCACTTTCTTTCTTCTGGTTGGCCGTCCTTGCCTAGAGGCAGCACCCAGTGCTTGTGACCTGGCTTGGACAATCGCGATACTGGCTCATATTTTATATAGAACATTTTTTTTTCCCCCGATGTCCCCCAGCTGCTCTACTTCAGTGATTTAAATAGTTTTCCTGATGGAAATATAGCTTTACTTGTTGTTAATATTAGCCGTAGATACTACTTAGTAGATACAGATTGCTAATTGGTACTAATTGTAGACGTTATCTGTGCAACTAACTTTAGTCTTCCCTATCTGCCTGAAGTGGGAGCTCAGAGCAGAGTGTTGGTGTTCACATTTTTAGTAACATTACAGGAGCTTTGGACCGCTGGTGCCCCAAGCTCACAGCAGCAGTAAGCGATTAGCGGCTAAATGAGCCAGCCGCTCCGTTAACAACATGTTATCAGTAAACTCTTTAAATCACAGAGAGTTGAGGCAGAGAAGCTGAAGGACATCAAATGGAAAATATGTAACTTTCATTCTCAACCAAAGAAGTATTTTCTGTGAGACTTGCGGTCAAACTAAACTGAGTGGGAATATGGCCGTGTCCCAAATGTTTGTAGGGATGCTCAGCTATTCCCTGCCGGGAGCGGATGACAATATTGAGACTATTTGACACTTAAGCCACATTTAATATAAACATCCAACACTGTAACATTATATATCACAGAAAAGAAGGGATAGCATAAAAGGCCATCTTCATCAGATGTTTAAATGTTTTATCACCTTGACATTGTTAAAAGACAGATGACTGCACACACAGATGGATTTTCTAAACATAGAGACACATACAGATTGGGCTCATGAACAGCTCACTGAAAAGCCATCAGCTTTTGGATTGAGTCTTTGCAACACTACTGAGCTCTGAAATGTAGCTTGGGGCTCAATCACGTTTAATCAAACTAAACCAGCAGGGGGTCTGCATTTCGATCACCGAACAAGCTGCAGGGTTGCTCGCTGTTCCATCCCTCAACCACAGTTTGACTGGTCACCCACTTTAATACCAGCTTTTTGGAATCTGCTTACAGTAAGCCTCCTTAATTTTTACAAAAAAGATTTAGGCATTTACATCCACCTCATGCATTATCTCTCTCGTTCTCACACACACAAGTGAACACAGAACACCATTTAGACAACATTCTGAGTCAGATTATCCGCAAAGCTGGATCATGTACACACACACGCACGCACTTGTTTAAATTACACAGTAGAAGTAATTTCAGGAAAATTCAGTTCCTAAAGCTCTACTCATCGATATTAAGAATGAATCAAATGATGAACCCACAGAGCTCCGCAGCTCTACTGAGTTTTTTAGTCTCTTTTAGCTCAAGATTTTGTATTATGGCACACGTTTATTGTCTATATAATGCTTATGTAGATGCTAATTTAGTTATTCATTAGCTCAGAGAAGGGCCTCTTTAGTGTAACTAGCGTGTAATTTATCACAGTTGTTATCCCCGGACATTTTGTGACTCAAGTGCATTTTGATTCATTTTGGAGTCAAAATTCTGTGTACACACAAGCTCCTTTGTTCCTACACTTGTGTATACTGTATATACACACACAAACTACCATTAATATGGCCAGATTAATCATTTTGCTGTCTCCTCTGGGCTGTACAGAGACTCTGTTCTTTATTTTAATTCCATCCCATGTTTTTTGTCAGATTAAACAACAAAAAGCCCTTGAAGATTAGCGAGCACTGTGCACATATAGGGTTGTGAGGGTTAGAGGGGTCAGAAGGTCAGTAGTCTGACTCACAGGAAGTAGGCTGTGGATATAAGCCTGCCATTGGTCGATTATTTCAGTCGGAGTTCTCCTCCCCTTTCGCTATTTCCGTGTTAGCGTTTTGCAAGGGCACTGTAGCCTCATCCCGGGCTTAGCGCCACCCAAGATGATTGTGATTGGTTTAAAGAAATACCAGCATGATAATGGGCTCAGCCAAACCTTTCTCTCTAAAACATAGTGTGGAGAGAAGGTCAGCTGCACTGGGATTACACCAGCAAAGAGAGAGAAACACAGTGTGTTTATGAATTTATTGGGATATGTTTGCATTTTTGTGAGTGCACTGTATATTTAATTTCAGCAAAGGAATAGTTAACTCGTAAACAAAAAGGTTTTGAAAAAAAAATTGGGCCATCTTTTTTGGATTTCATTTTTATAAAATATTTTTCTAAGCAGATTTCTCCCCCCACGTACCCCACACAATGGTACATTTTTTCCTCTGCACGTGGTGACCTGATTTGCCTTGACAAACACATAGATTTCACACACAGCATGTTGCCATATTTCCCAGACTTCCTTGCTAAAATATCCTCCTATTCCTAAGTGTACAGAATATCTTTTTTTGCCATTGAACCACAGAAATGAGAAAAACAGAAGTCATTTTCATATGCAGACTTACACATACGCGGGAAGTTGCAGAAGCTGTTAACATGCATTGGATGCCAATTATTTTCACTAATGAACAGTACAAACAGATTGACAGCAGTGATCTCTTGCTGTAGGGGTTACTTTTTTTACCAAGGTTTAAAGACAGTAAATGCATAGCACCATCCATTTTCAAGTTTTGATACCATTCATTGGTGAAAAACAAAAGAAATATAAATCAGTTTCTTTATGTGACTATATTGGTATTAAGGATGAGTGAGTACTTGGTTGAAATGAGCATCTGGTACAGATAATGTATTTTTTAAGTATCATTTGAGTAAAATGTGTCAATATCTGTACAAAAAAATTTGCTCTCTAAATAGGTCTCTTAATCTTATGATCGAAAACATTACCTAGAAGCTAAATTCTGAGGCTGTCAAGATAGTTCGAATAACCCTTATCAATTTCAGGCTTAAATGAACAACTTCCCACCCACTCCAGGTTTAACCCCCGCCCATTCTGAGTGCAGATACGACTACAGATAATTTAGTTGGTTGAACAGATACAAATAATGGTGTATTCGCCCATCCCTAATCAGTATAACCTTAGCCTCTCAATAAGTTACTATGGAATAGTCAAGTTTCCTTTGAAATTCAGCACATCTGAGCTGAATTTCCAGAAAGAAAGAAAATGCTAATTCATTCAGTTTCCATCCACTAAACAATCCTTAAACAAAGAAAAAACAGCGTGGAAAACATGATAGAAATATGACATTTGTTTTTGTTTCATGCATTCATTTGAGGAACATTATAGCCCACATATCTGTTGGTTTCCTCTGCCACAGTTTTTAGTCTCTCCAGGTCAAGTCAAGTCACACGCTTCATGTACGACATGATTTATTCTCTAAGCCTGTTTCCATTACACTGTCACATTTTGCTTTCATCTATATACCAACTTATACGCCTCAGCCAAGTTTTAAATGTGCAAATTAAAAATGTACATAAACACATCTGGATGGCGATACACTTATTGTCAGTAAATTGATTTTCTTGTCTTTACATTTTAAGCTATACAGTATTTGATCTGTGTGTCCCTCCCGCAGTAATGCTTTGGATAGGATTTTAACACAGCAGTGTAATTTATTCTTCCTGTGTGATTTTTATTTTTACTCAGATGGCGTCCTGGACCTCTCCACCAAGAAAAACCACAGCGCAGGAAGCCACAAAACCTTCCCCGGCATCTCCCATGCGCCTGGGGTCAAAGGGTAAGACAACAGGATTAGTCAAACTGGCCTTTGTTGGCAGAGCGGCGCAGTCATGTGTCTAAAACAACACTGGAGAGGTTAAAGCAGTGCACTGATGTTGTGTTTCTGCACCACACTTACCAGAGAGCACATGTCACTCTAACACTAAATGCTCCATTGAGATTTGGCCTGAGGTATCCAGATGCCAAACCACAGTCAAGCTTGTTTTTAGCCAACAAAGATTGATTTCACAAGAAGATGACAACCATCACAGGCAGATTTCAATATTTCTATGCTTTTTTCCTTGTAAAATACTGGATAGTTTCAAGTTTCAGTTTCACCATCCCCCCCCTCTATAAACTCGAAATAAAATAAAACAAGCCAAGAAGAGAATCTATGATGACAAATGCATCTGTAAAAAAGACTTGATGGAAGTTGATGGAAGCTGCAGCCAAAAAGTTACTGAAGATGAAACATTTCCCAGAGCAACACATTTCCAGTAATAGTATGAATTGTAGTTGAAATATAGCCAGTGATGCATGATGTCCAATTTAGTGAACTGATGATAAATTGCTTTCCAATGTATAGAATTTTAATAATTATGTTACTCCTTAGTTGTTTCTTACTGTTACCAAATGTTATTTACCTACTGTAGAAGGATTGGCAATATATGTATGAGGTACTCGGCTTTTCTGGCCTTCCATTAGCCATCTTGGTTTTGAGACATGTTTGTTGCACTCACAGCTGGCCAGTGGGTGGCAGGGTATGGTATGACACACTAGTGTCCGCTGTGGTGGCTGATCTACAACTATACAATCAAAACCTTGCATATACCATGCATATGTAAGAAAACAGTCCACTGTAGTGGCCACTGAGCATGAAAGGGTTTTAAACAAGGTATTCAAGTCTGACATTCTCACAGCACATGAATGCATCAGAGTAACAACAGCAGACAACAATTTCAGCACAACCACAGAGCATCTTGTAAAAGACTTAAAGAGAATGTGGTAAATGGTAGAAAACATCCAGAGAAACCAGTAAGATCCTTGAAAATATTCATAAAAGATGCATGAAGGAAAGACGAGCAAAACCGTGAATCCACCGCTGTGTGGCAGTTAAACCACCCAACAGATGGACAATACACTATATTTATATGCATTGTGTTTACCTCTGCTCATGCCTTACTTAAAAATGCAATATGTTTAGTTACTGCACTTTCTTTTCTGTAGATTTTATGTTAATGATATTTTACTCTCTGAAAGTGTTTATTCTAAACTAAACTAAACTAAAAGTGTAAAACCATTTCAACCCATCAGCATTAAGCTTTTATTATACTATAATATAGTACAATTTTATTGTATGGGTTTATTCACAACTGTGTTAGAATGTAGTCCAATAGTCAGACTCTCCATTATAAAATTCCCAGCTGTTTTTAAGATGTCAAACCTTTGAAGGAATACTAGCAGCTCTACTGCTCTCTTTTCTCCCCATTGTGCAGTACGTTGTTAACGTTCCGTCACTCTAGTTATATCTTTCATTAGTCTTTAAAAGGCTCGAAACAACCAGTTAGTGGTTGGAGTTTTGACTATGTGGGTGCTCTACGGGTCTTGAAAGGGCCCTCGGACAGCCTCTCCACATTTTGGGCGTGCATGCTTCTATTACCCTGTAGTCATTCTCAGGCGATTTCTGCCGACGCCTTCCACCTTTCATCTTACCTATTGGTTTTGCTCAGATGATCAATACCTGAGCTACCATCACTCCTATGGCAAGGCTGTATATACTTGTGTTTAGGTATTTATAATTTATATTCCTCCCACGTCCACCCCCTTACCCCAGAGTGAGAGTTCAATGGCTGAATGTCTCAAATGCATGACGGAGGCTTTGACTACTTTCCTCTTTTCGTCTACAAGTCAGTGCGTGTATTGACAATCCTCAGCGTTGCCGCCCAATCATTTATTGATAAACATATATTTTGCCTTGAAGTCATGTTTGAATCAGTAGCTATCATACTCTATTCTTGCATCGAGAGGGAATAAGCAATTGATGCAAATTGCAGTTGCCATTTCCAGGAATACTTTTGATGTGTAGGTCAAAGATGGATTAGAAGAGGTTCAATACACAGAGCAGCCCCAAACACTGGGTTGAGGTGAGGCTGCAGTGGTGGAGGATGTGGGCAAACCTGCACCCACCATGTGGGCAGCATCTGATTGATCCAGCAGTGAATACACCTCCAATTACTTCCTGAACTGAGATTTGAGAAGTGTTGCATTGATATTACAGTTAACGTAAGTCCCAAGTGGTTACCACATGAGTTGTTCTTCCTGGTGAAGGCTAGTGCTGCCTAGATTCAAAGATACCAAATGAAGTCAGTATTTATCACACTAGTTTTAGATTGAAATGAACATGAAGAAAATTAGCAGTGAAGCAACAGCAGTGACTTTACAGGATTGTGAAATATAATTAGAATAGATCTCAGCTAGTTACTTTAGTGAGTTCATTGTTGAAAGACCTAATTTGTAATAAACCTGATATTTGCTGTTACAAGGATAATTCTGAACTCTCTTTAGTAAGAGTGAGAGAAGAGCAAGATTTTCTTAAAAATGTGCAATGTTTTACTTGTTGGCGTTGGAGTGAGAGCACTATTATTGGTTCAGAGTTCCCAGGAATCGTCAGTTCCCAGGAAAATTAAGTCTCCATTTGGGTCCATATGTAGAGACAGACGTTGAAGTGACAGTAAAAAAAACCTCTTGGAATACGCTCAGCAAAATTATTTCTACAGACACACAAGCTTTCTTTTTTTACTCTTAACACAACAAGATATTGCCTGCTGATATCCTCCACAAGTGCGGGCCCAGCAGGCTAACCTTGGCATGCTGAAGTATTTCCACAATAGGACAAAAAAAAAAGAAAAATTAGAAACTGCACCTGAAGCCCCTCAGGACAGAACTCTAACTCCCACCTGAGGGTCCTTAGGCCCAAAGGCCCTAAGGCCCCAAGCCTCACTGGGACTCTCTAATGATCAGCTCATGTAATATTAACAGCATGAGAAGGTGTAGTTCCACCCCCACTAACACCATTCATCTTTGACAGTCAGACAATCCCAAAAGCACACATCAGGTTTGTGTGTGTTACAGGTTACTGGCCTTAAATCTGTTTATGACCGCATAACCTCGGAGTTAGTTTGTACATTATATTATTATTTAGATATTTTATTGAGGTTAGTTATTTGTTTTATAATTGTATGTAATTATGAATTGTAATTCATAATTATTATAATTAATAATTAATTCGTAATTCATAATTATGAATTGTAATGCATAATTTGTATACATTTTTATATTTGTATGTATTGTTTATTTTTATTGTCTATATTTTATCTTTCTTTATATTTTGTATGTTTATTGTTGTTGTTATTCTGATCATTTAACTGTTATTAAGTAGGTTGTTCACAAGGTATTTAGGAACTACATACTGAAAAAGAAGTTAGTTAAAATTAGTTTTAATGTCCAATTCTGGTCCAATTGATTATTGATTTTCCACAAAGAAAAATAAATGTGAAAAATTCAATAAAATAATGGCTGCAGGATAAAACTACCTTGCTTTTTAAAACCATTAGAGCCTCAAAATATTGTTAAGGGAACACAGGTCATTCACCAGGATGCTGAGACAATAACTATGTTTAATTTCTTTGCTCCTTTTATTTTCACAAGTGTATGCTCACATTAAATCCTCAGATCCACCATTACTGTCTGGCGCAACCTCCCTGATGACTGTATGCTTACTGTAACAGAACGCTCTATTAGAGTGTAGTCTCCAAAGCCTCTCGTTAACCCTGTATTGTTTTCAACGCGCCTGAGACCGCCCACTGTGGTAATCTGTCTTAAAGCTCCTGCTGTGGACTCCCTACATTGCACTACAGTTGCGCTGTAGCTCACCAGAATATGTCTCCAATGGAGAGATAACAGCATTTCCCTCAAGTTTCTTCTCCCCTATGCTATCCACTGACTTGACAGGCTATTTCCTGTTATTTTGACCCTTAGGGACCATTTCTTTAAAGAGCCTTTTCACTGTTGCTATAGTTACTTAGCAGTAAGAACATTGGCTGCAGCAGTTCAAGTGGAGACACTTTGCATGTAAGCATATGTTTCATCAGCAGAGAGACGGTTTCCAGAAATTGGAAACGTAGAAATGTGAGTTGCTTGAAGACAGTGCTTGTTGACAAGAAGACGTATGTTATAATTTCAGTTCAAGACAACTTTATTCATCCAAAAGGGAAAAAATCATTAAAAAACAAGACATAGGAAACTTGCCACGGGACAGGTTAATACAGGTTTTGGCATGTAACTGTTAAAAGCAAAGCAATGTTTACGCTCTTAAAGGTTGTGTGATTTTACGTGTTCAGATGTTAACAGAACAGTCAAGAAGGAATGCTGCCTTCTTGGTTTGTTTTATTCTTGGATTGTTAAATTTAAAGGGCATGAAAAGGTAAAATTATCCATTATTTCACAATAGAAATGCTAAGACTCGTCAGAAAAAAAAGCATAATTGTATGTAGTGCAAAGTGATTTTACTCCCTATTCTTACCCAGATAAATATTTTGCATAATAATGGTCTAAATTTTATACTGAAAGCTATGGATGTGTATTTTGTGTGACGTTAGTTAGAAGTAGTTGCGCCTGTGGGTCACTGGGTCCCCTGAACACTTCATCCAGGTTGTCTTTAATCAAAGTCATTCCCATTATTAGCTTCAGTAGATGGATAGGTCCGAGATAATTGCATAGGTGATGGAATATGTATCTGAATATTTGGCTAAATCCTTTCCAAAACCTCTCAAAAATTAAAACATAATGACTCTCACATCAGTGTGCTACCTCACTTTGAATGCAGTTATAGTCCTTGCAAAATATTGTTGATGTTTAATAATGAACTGCTAAAAAAAAACAACTTGTTTGCAATTGTTTTGTCAAATTGTAAGTCTACTAATGTTCTGCTTGCATAAAAAAGAAAGACTGATGTACCAGGATTTATTAAGCAGGGCTGTGTGGGCATTTATAGCTTTATTATACGGTAAATTGTCAAGTCACGCAAGTCACAAAATATATTGTATTTTCCCATTTACCCTGAGTGGTGCAAATTGTTTCCACTGAGGAACAAAAATTAGAAAGCTGTTGACAGGGAGGTCTGTGGTTTATCTTAAAATGCTGATTCTGGCAAAAGATGGTGCTGTTGAGTTTTCAAATGTTATTTATTGGTGGTTTTGTTATGTTGTTTGTGAGTTTATGAACTGACACTTTGAATAATGATTTGGCAACCTTTCCCGCCATGTACAGGATGGTAAAAAGTTTAATGATTAGAACTTTAATTTGGAGCAACACATTACAGATCTTTTTAAATTAGAAAATGCAATATGCATCAAACCCCAGTCTCAAGAATCAGTTCTGGCTTATAACGACATCCCTGACTAAATTGGCCTCTTTTGTCTCCATCCAGACGTTCCCTCAAAGTGGAACAGACCCTGCCAGAGGTGGATGAGGAGGATGGCCTGCTGCAGAGAAGCTTGCAGGATGGCCTGAGGGAGAACTACGTCAATTCCAACTCTTTTAAGCCCCCACTGGCCCGCTCACTGCGAATCAAGGAAGAACTCCTCAGCCAGAAGCACCGCCTCCTGAGCCAGCCTGCTGCTCTTTCACTGGCTAATTTAGAGTCAGCTGGCTTGCTCAATCACGGGCAGTGCCACTCCTTGCTTGGCCAGAAAAGCTCTCCCTCTTTCTGGGGAAGCAAGGCCCATATCGACAGCCTGCTGAAGCTAAAGCAGGCCAGTGGAGCTCTGAGCGGGGCCCTCAGCGACCTCAAAGACCTGCCTACATTCCTGGAGAATCACCACCACGGAGCCTTCTCTTTCAAAAGTTCCCTCCACCATCACAATCAGGTCTCCAAGGCCCAGCACCACCACAATGAGGGCAAGAGAGACCAGGGCCACTCACCTCCAGTCGACCTAAAGATTCCTCAAGTTCGAGGCATGGATCTCTCCTGGGACTCCCATGCCTCTGAGCTGTACGGCTTTGGTGGCATGGGGGTTGGGAGTGGTGGGCATGGGGAGAACAGCCTGAGCCGGAAGCTGAGAGCCATCCTGCCCAAACAGAACCGCAGGGGAGGGAGCCTTGGAAGCCTGCTGGATGGGGCATCTGACTACTGGAGCTCTGACATAGACCACTCAAGTTCCGGGCCAGCATACTCCACCTCCGACGTGGAAGGGGACCCAAACTCCAAGCAGCCGAGGAAGAAGAGGGGCCGTTATCGCCAGTACAATAGCGAGATCCTGGAAGAGGCCATTGCAGTAGTGATGAATGGGAAGATGAGCGTGTCCAAGGCTCAGAACATGTACGGGATCCCACACAGCACCTTAGAGTACAAGGTCAAGGAGCGCATGGGAACCCTGAAGAATCCCCCAAAGAAGAAGCTCAAGCTGATGATGAAAATGGAAGCTGGAGGCCAGGATTTTCCTGCTGAGTCGGAGAACATGCCCACCACAACCCCAAGAGATGACGGCCAGCCGCTGGCAGCTGCTGAGCTCAAGGACAATGTAAAAGAAGAGATCGATGACAATTTCAAACCAATCGACTAAACAACTTACACATGTAAACCTCAGTCAAATGACTAAAGTAATTTGAAAACGGATGGGGCTTTATTTGTGCCAATTTACTTTGCAGTATCTGGGTGAGCACAAACGCAGGGATAATATGAGGAGGATTCGTAAAACAAACTGGAGATAAACGACTAATCGGATGGTTTTTAACAAGCATCGCTTGAGCGGTGCTGTGTAAGCATTTGTTTAGCTTTTATGTCCAGGGGCTTAACAAATGCAGCTAAAGACATTAGTTAAATGACAATTAATGAAATTTCCATAAGCATGCTGATAATCCTCAGCCCAAAATACCCAATCCCCCTCTTTTCTGAACTTGATACACTGAACCGTTGCTGCTTATAAATGCAGTTTGGATTTTGGACCATTCCAATTTGGGGGGGAAATGAGGGGAAGGTTGAAAATTAACTCCTTAAAAACTGATAAATTAGTCCCTTTACTGCTCCCCTCTCTCATGGAGTATGAGCTGAAAATTGGTAAGTGAACTGTCTGCTACGTTTGAAGAAAACTGTAAGGTTTAATCATACCATTGATATTCCTCACCAGGGTTCTGAATCAAAACCCATTCTCTTATTGCCAGGTAGCCATGACGCTTTAACTGCAAACCTTTTCTTTCCTCCTTAAGATATTCTGCTAATCGTTGTGCGGACGAAAGCAACATTAACCCGTCCTTTTTGAATGAGAAAAGACACACAAAAGTCATTCAGGGATGCATGTTTGTGAGTTTCGTGGACACTACTGACTTCTATAATTGACATCTTTTCCTCTATCTTTTCATTTGATTTGTTTTGCTTTCTTTTGCACTACACTTTGGGTCTGGCGCTTACAGACCAGGTTACCTCGGCATTGTTGCCCTTGCATCATGCACTTATTATGGTCTGTCTCTGAAGCCCAGTCGCAACCTCGCAACGGGTCGGAGGTGCACATCGCCTGTGTACGCTGATCCACAATCAGATCCCAGGAAGTTCTAAAACTCTCTTTTTAGCCAAGGGACAAGTTGAAGGGTAATCTGATTGTGGATTAGCTGTTTTTAAGGCGGAATGCTACCTCATGGACCTCTATCAGTGTCTCACTGCTGATCCTGGAATGCTGGAGCTGCCTTCAGGTTGCCCTCCAAATGGTAACCGAAGTGAGCTCATCCCCTCATGGAGATCTTTATTGGATGAAGGCCTTTTAGGATCAGAATGTGAAACCCTGCTGCTATCCAGTTGATTATCTAGCTCCTATTAAGCTAGCCTTAGCTAACAACAACACATTGCTGATGTTTTGTTTTTTTTCCTTTTCTAATCAATCTAAGCAGAAATGAATTAACTGATGAGTTTTAAAAGAAATTCTTCTCCCTCAAACTTTAAAGACAGTTTTAAAGGCAGTTTACTACAACAATGTGCATTTATAGAGGGTTGTTCATTTTGGGATGGTGGGTGGGCAATATGCAGTGGGGAGGGGTAGTTAATAGAGGCGAGGGAAAGGCAGATTTAATATATTATAAATTATTATGACTGATGATGTAAAAGCCAATCCATGATTCTGAATGATTTCTTTTCTCCTCATTTTTAACTCAGGGTAACTGAGACAGATGTTGTGGGTTTCAAATATGGTCATTTCCTGTTGGACCTATAGTAGACAGACAGGAGGACACCTCTCACTAATGCTTTGTCTGCGGAAAGGGGGCCATATGAGTAAAAATGGCAGCGCCATAGCAGATATACCTGCTAATGAATCATGATAAATGACAGAAAACACTGACGTTGGCTTTGGGGGTTGAACTCACGGCGCTAAACTTCTAAAATCGCACTTTTCAAAAATAAGAGAAAAACAAGAGATAAAGGAAGCTGTTTAAGGTTATGCATGTAGTGTAGCTCTTCTCTGGGGGATATGGAACAGGGAGCGATGACGAGGGCAAAGAGATGGAAGAAAAAAGCTTTAGTGTGTGAAGACTTTCAGAAAGCTGCAGCTCGGACCCAAACTACTCTTTTTTTCCTTCTCGATTACCTCCACCATAAAAAAAAAGAAAAAAGAAAAAAAAATGGTCGACAGCTTGAACAAGTGGAGTTTTGTGTAGTGTCGTCTCGTCGCTTTCCCTCCCCTCGCCGCTGAAGCACCAGGGATAGAAAAACTATCATCACGTTTTAACAGGCGGGGAAAGAATATCCCTCAGGGGACGCAGGTGGAAAGAGAAAAAAAACACTCTTTTGGTATTTTCCATCAGGAAAAGATTGAAGGAGATGACAAAAGCTTTTTGTTTGTCATGTTTTGTTGTTTTTTTGCTCTGTGGTAAATGTTGTTCTTCGCTCCCAACACTGCCTGGTGCTCACCCAGTCTGTGAGATTTTTAACACGAGAATTGTACCTCTCTGTTCAGATGAAATGATGACGATTCACTCCTTTTGAAATGTATTGTACATTTTATTTATTTGATTTGTTTTTTTCTTTGATTACGCTCTTAAAAATGGCATGCACCACTTTTTTGGGGGGCTGATTTTGGGGGTTGGGCCAACCGAATATTTTATGATGAGAGGATTTCAACACAATTAATCCTGAGCCAGAGAAGCTCAAACTCTCACTATATTATGACTGAATCAGAATCTAATTAGAATTAGAATCACTTACTACCTGTTGCATACAATCTTAATTTTCCCCTCTGTGGTTATTGGCTACCATTTGTAGCTCCCCTGGCTTGACTGGCAGGTTTGCATGGCCAGTGGGAAAAGCTCTAGAAAGACTCCTGGAACAACAGTATTTCCAGGGGTCGTCATGCATTAAATGCGTCCAACACTTTGACAATGCTGAGCATTTGAAGTGTCTAAAAGGTTGCTGTGTGCGTTGAGTTGGACCCAGCGAAGGACAATGCACTGATCTAATAGTTAAAACAGGATCGAAGCTCCAATGTCGCTAGTAAAGCACTTCTTATAAACACGCCTGTGATGATAGCTGCTCACTTATCCAGCTGTGAATACAGTTTGACAAAACACAACTTACAGTGTGTCCCCTCCCTCTAAAATAACAGAACAGAACAAAGTCATGGCACACTGTTGGCGCCTGTTAGCCTGTTTCATGTAATGCATGTAAAGCATGGATTTGTGCTAAAAAGGAAAGAAAATATATGTGTAAAAATTATGTAATTGGCACTTAACGCACAGGTTTGCATGGATAAACTCCAACAGCACTTACACTGAATTCCCCTGAGAGGGGCGATTCCTCAAGGGCCAAACTATCTCTAAATCCTTTACAAACACTTTCTGTCCTTCAAGAAATTCTTGAACTTTAATGTACATTTGGCTTTTGCTATCAATTTGCCATTACTTTTTAAAAACATGAGTAATTTAAAATGCTTAAAAAGTGCCCATCATCCTATCTACTGAGGTGCATGCCATTTAAGGTATATTTATTTCATTTCATTTGATTTTTCTTGGGTTTTCTGATTGTTTGTTGTCATGTGGTTAACGGCTCCGCCTGTCCGAAAAAGTCCTCCTTCTTGCAACTGAGTCTCTCTGCTGTTTTTAAAGAAACCTCATACTATATTATATACTTAAGAGAACAGTATATATCTATTTATATACATATATATTAACAAATACTCACATAATGAATGTAGTGAACTGAATATCTCAAACTTACAAAATCAGAACAGTGATCTGCAAAAAAAGATGGCACTGTCAGTTCATTTTTAACAGACTGTTGTTTTTATTCTTTTGCTTTTAGTTTCACTTTACGCTGCTTGCATTGGAAACGCAGTCGTTTTCTGACGCGGGCGTGCGACAGTAGCCTTCAGTACTGTAAATGTCTCAGGATCGAGCCAATGGGATGGGCAGCAATATTTGTCAGTCGGAAAATGGCGCAGACATAACTACCTGTACTAGATGTAATTTATAGACTTATATAAACAGTATATAAAATATATGTCTACTTGGTCAGCAAAGACCAAGTGTTATACCTCAATCTCAGAATAATGACTCCTTTCCGTGCCTCGTACTTTTATGTATACCTTACCTGGGAGCCTGGCGAAGGGATAGCCGATACTCTGGGAAATATAGTATCCTCCGCTGTTTCTTTTCTTTTATCTGTTCGTTATTCTTTTCTTTGTTTCGCCTCTCTCTTGCAAAGGGAGGAGGGAGACGCTTCAAGTGTCTGACTGACCAATATTTGCCACCCTACCTCTTTTCAGGTATTTTTTTGCAACAACAAACCTTTTAGACGTACGTAATGAGCAACAGATTGAGAAAAAGAAAGACCCACAGGGATTATACAGCTATTCCTGTTCTTAGCACTGGATGGGGTTGGTATGGGGGGGCTTCAAACCTCTCATTTCTCCTTCTAAAAGTCAAAACATTTTGGGATTCAGTCGTCTGGTTTCACCCTGGAGGCGATAAGTCAGGTCGGTCCCACCCTGGTCTGAGAAAGAACAAGGTGTTTTTGTTCATTGAGGGTTTTTTTTTTTCTTTCTTTCTTTCTTTCTTTCTTTCTTTCTTTCTTTCTTTCTTTTTTGGTTTATTGTGTGTTTTTAGGTGTAACATAACTCCAGGTTGAAACTTGACAGGGGGATTTAGTTTTAATTTCTCATACCCAGAGAAATCAGAGACCCAGAGGGGAGATTGGGGGACAGGTGGACAAGTTAACCTTCCTTTATCTGCTGTCTTGTAAAAGAAAAATATCCTATCCAAAATCTTTTACACTGCATTCCAAAAACAAACCCCTCACACAGGAAAATGTACCTTTTATATGATGAAAATGAAAAAAACCTATATACTTATATATGTATTAATTTACTGTTTTTGCATCTTCAGGTAAGCCAATCTATTTCTCTTTTGCTTTTCAGGTTGGTTTTCATTTTATTTTATTTTTATGTTTTTTCTTCTGAGTGAAAGACTGTCAAAAACGTGATAAAAGAAAAAAATGTCGAACAGCAACTACTGTAACCTCACTTAGTAGACGCCACATGACGTGCCATGTTGTTTCAGGATGGTGTGTGATGGTGTGGGCTACCAGGAAAGAAACTCCCATAATGTATATGATTGCCATGCTCCTCTCTGCAGAGAGGTTTCTGCTATTTCTTTTTGTGTCACGCTGCATATCTGGTTGTCATTTATACCTCAGGTCCGACCACTTCAAAGCAGCTGATTGTACATTAGAAACACACACACACAACGAAGAATCAGGATTTTTAGTACGGTTCGTTTCCAGATTTTTAGATGTAACCGACGGAAGCAGTTTTTGAATAATTGTCGTTTCTTGTTGTCGTCGTTCGTACTGTTGCTATTCTGATGACATCTTCCTTTCCTTTTGTTTTGTTTTCTTATAAAAAAGAAAAGACAAATTCTTTAAAAGCAAGAAGCCAGGTTTCTGTGAATACAATGCTGTATTCTCTCTAGCACATGCAGCCGTGGAAGAGCAGAACGCACACACACATATAGAGACATGACGCACCTACAGCAACATACACTCTCCCTCCTCATCAGGTAGCCACACTTTGTGTGGGCGGGTTATATGTATAATTATGAAGCTGGGAGTCGTTTTCTCTTTTAGAAGCAGGTGGGTGTGTTTTGTCCACAGCCTGCAGGACATCAGCCCTGCTGGCTGATTTTGATCTGGCACACTGGGACAATGCAGGCACTGCCTCTGTGAAAATCCCTTTGTTTTTTTTTGTGCTTTCAACAAAGACTGCTTTTCGTCCTTTTTTTAATCAACCTACCAATCGTTTTGTTAAAGGAAAAATCCTTCCTCAAGTTATATTTTATGTTGTTCATTCCTGCAGTTATGTTTGTTATAATTTAAGTTTCTCCTTTTTACATCCTTTCCTTCAACCTGCCGTCTGTTTCTGCTGCCGTCAGTGATTGCCCGCGGTTTTACAGTTTACTGTGAAGGCAGCCATGTCCTTTTGACATTACAATTAGATTCATATTTAGGAGGTCTGTTTAAAAGGGACATTTTCTATATTTTCTAGTTTGAAGAATGAAATCTCACATTCCAACCTGTGACCAAACAAAAAAAAAACTGCTCCCCTGTTATGTCTTGTGGCTGCATTGCATGCTGGAATTAGAAATTAAATTCTCCACCTGAAGACACAATCGACACTACAAGCTAAAGAAATAGATGCAGGAATGCAAAGAACATCGCCAGCAGCTATATGTTTTGGGTCAGGTTTCCAGTCCAGAGACTTGGATTAAAGTTGTTTTTCAGTGTTTAGTCCAGGGCTAGGCTTAAATCCCCATCAGAGGAACTGTGTGTGTTTCTCGATGGATTTTTCTCTTAACTACATATCCAAGAAGACTGTCTATATCTATCCTACTCTGGGGTGCATTTAAAAAAAATAATAAGCAGCACATGGACTGACAGTTACAATTCTCCTCGTGTGTTGTAAGCTTCAACATGCTGTCATTTTTTTTCTGTTAAAATGTGCAACTCCTCTGTCGTGGAGTGCGATGCCAAGTGTTGTAAATGTCAAAGCATTTGTGAAGATGTGACAAGCAGTCGCTCAGTATCAGGCTGGCTTTGAAAGCAGAGCTGAGTACAGATCTTAAAGGCCAGACACGCCTCTCGAATGGTGCTGATCTGCAGCAATCAACACAACAGACACCTTCACTTCCTTCCGTTATATTTTATTAAACAATAATTTTTGGCATGGGCTCGTTAGTTTTGATTCTGGACTCAGTCAAAAAGATTTGCTTCCAAAACGTAAATTCTTCACTTTAAGTGTTGATTTTGAGCCATAATTCTAACTCGGATAAAGTGAGAGAATGCATAGTGTTACTTATTAATCAAAACTGTCTGAAAACTAGATTAGGATATTGAAATTCTACACCTTTGTGTGCTTTGAAAATAAGAAAATCAACACATTTACAGGGAGATTTTGAATATTTTTATGAGGTTTTCAAACCGCAGCCTGGTTTCACTACGTTGACGTCACTCAAAGCTGTTGATTTCCAAATTTCCATCCAGGTTCAATAATCTACTTGACCACACTTCACTTCATACTCACATTTAATCTGATGGGGCCGCCAGGAATAAGTTATTATATTTGTTGTTCTTCAATCAGTGGAATCAGGAGTGCCTTTTGAAGACTCGAATCACAATCTCAAATCTAATCGTTAAGGGTTGGTTTCTTAATCACATTTAATCTAACCACCCGAGTTAATCACAGAGCAGTTGCTTCAAGAATGACATTCTTCTGTCGAAGCAAAATGTCACGTGATATTCAGGTCAAATTTGTTGGCTTAAATTCCCAGCCCCCCGTCCCTGTGATTATGTTGTACTGTGAAAGCCTCGCAGGCAGACATTTTCTCACACTGGCTGTTCTCGCCTCCGACGAGCCCGTGGTGCTGGCGTGCGTCTCACCCCTCCGCCTCGTCAGAAAGCCTCCTTACAGATGGCAGAAAGACAGACTGTCAGATAGACATGGCTATCTGAGGAGGTGGATGGGAGTGCAAAGATAAAATCTAAGTGAGTACAGAAGAATAAAGGCCGCTGAAGGTCGCCATCCCCACCCCCACGCCACAGTTAAACAACAGGCTTTTAATGGAACGATGCTGAAATTCACTTCACAAACAAACGTTACTTTGGTACATTGCGACTAAAAGATGCCACAGTTGATTTGAAACTCCACTTAGAGAAGGAAGGGTGTTATTAGAGACAAAATATCAGACGTGATGTGCAGGTTCAAAAAGAAAATTTTGAAAATAAAAGCCAGGGCTGTGTGAAGGAAATCTGGTCAAAATGCTCTGTGATAGATTTAATAAGGTGCCCTTGTGTGTTGCCATGACAATCTTGCAGCATTGTTTCCATGTGGAGGTGTGTCTGGCCCTGTAGAGCCACCTACATGGACCAGCTGGTGTCTGTTTGTCTGAACTCAAATACAGCTCTGCTAGTAGTGGTTTATCTCCTGCATTCGCACATGAGCGTGGAGGTTTTGGGTTAGAGAATTTTGGAGATGTGATGCTATCTTGTTGCAAAAAATAGTAGCCGTAATGTGTAGATACTGCTTTTTAATTAATTCATCCGGCATTGTCCTGTGCATTTTCAAAGGAAATGCTATTGACAGAAGACACGATTATAGAAGATCTTTGTCCAACACTGGCAAACAAATATTTACCACAGAATGTCGGTTATTCTTTTTTCATGTCCTCTCCCTTCAGTTTACAAGACTCTGTCTTGCTCTCATTTGTATCCATGTGAGAGCATCTCCGAGCATGTATTTGTCCTTCTCTTTGCTTGTCTCTGAGATGCTCTCTGTTGTTTCTGCTACCTCAGTCTGTCAGGACTTGCCTGTGGGGATCTTTTCAGGTGGCGACTTATTCAGGAGTCAGTCAGTTGCACAAAGTCGATTTGAAAATGAAAGTATAGTCAGTTGTTTCAAGTTAAGTACCATTTCGAGCATTTCACAGCATTTCTAGGCCTTATAAACTTTTGAGGTCAGGTCAGCTGGTTCGGAAGGGTTTTGATTAAAGTTAAATGCAGCAAAGACTTAGCTGGATGATTTGTCAGGTCTCCCGCTGGCGGTCCTCGAAGACATAGTATCCTCTGATTGTTTGCTGACCATTGCGTTCTCCTTTTCTTGTTTTTCCTCAAAGAAAGGTGTCAGATCTTGATTGTCCTGTCACTCAAAAGTGTGAAGTTTCTGGAGATACACCGTGATGCTGCTGCACTGCCGTAGGTGGCCGGGTAGGGCCACGCATCCGCTTCCACACCCCTGTAAACGTTTGATTTTATTGTCACTTTCTTTGATGAAAAGTCATAAACTCCTACCTTCCCCTTCCCTTCACCTTTGCCCCCTAACTATTTGTCATCCTCTCAGCATTCTTGGCCACTGAAGCGTGAGCGCCGTGGGGCTGACAGACCCTTGTTTGTCCCAGGAGAGATAGGGTGTTGCTGGCAGCCCCAGGTCCTTCACCTCTCACCAGGCCTTTTGATAAACCTCATTGCTGCCTCTTGGGATTATATACATGGTCCAGAGGCATCTGATCATGGTCTTCCTCCTACCTTTCTTTTTTGTTCTCTTATCTTTTCACAGAGGCTTTGCCATGCTGTCCTCTGAAGAGGAACTTGCAGATTTTTTAAGACAGGGTTAAGACTTGAGGTTCTTTCAGCAACTAGTGTGGTCATTATCCTCTGCAATATTGAGAACTGTTTTTAGGAAAAAACACACTAACATACTACATACACACAGTATGATTGGCAGGCGGTTAATATTTCAGCCTTGGTGAAAATTTCATGAATTCTCTCCACAAAAGAGACTCAATATTTTAAAGGTTTAGCCATTAATGTTGTATGATGTCTCTGATCTCTCGTTTTGATGTTTCGGGGTAACGGGCTCAGGCTTGATTTTTAGTTTCTGTGTTGAAAAATGTAAAAACTATTTCTAAAAAATCAGCTAATGAGCAGGGTTGTGCTTTGTTTAAATAGCCAGTGCATTGCTGTGATCCTCTTGTAGCTTATTTTTGCCGTCTTTGAAGTTATGACGTCTTCTGCATTTAAACTTTACCTTTTCCGTTACCTGTCAGTTGTGAAGTCTACACTACATGCAGATAACCACACCAGCCAGTGTATTTATAGTTGTGCTGAGGAGCAACACTGGCTTATGAGCACGATCGATAGTCAGGTCAGACAGGCCGGCATTCGGTGAGCAGATATCGAAGTTCAGTCCTCAGCCAGGAAGTTTGGCAGTACAAAAGATTAAATGTCATGCAGATGATTCCCACTGCCAAAACAGAAACTATTCAGAAACTCTTTTGTAGAACACCTCAAACTCATCTGGTTGAAGTTGACTCGTAAAAAGCCAGAACATCATCACTTAAAAGGGGTCTTTGAAAAGCCTTTTTTATTATTTGTGACTGATTCTGTACATTATTTTCAGCCAAATACTTTTTCAGTGCTTTATAAACAGCAAGGATTGTAAATATGAATAACTCTTAGCAGGGGAGGCTCATGCGGAGCTAACTTAGCGGTCCACCTCGGTGGTCCTCTGGAGATCTAACTTACAAGACTTGGACTGTTGCCTTCCCAAAGGTCAAAATTATGGAAAGCTGCTCATAAAAACAGAAAACCAAGTGCTTTCACTGAATCTGCGTTTGGGAAAGTAACGCTGAGTGTTTGTTCTTTCTTTCAGTCTTTGATAATGTTTTCCATCTTGGTGTTTCTTGGTGTGCAAAAATGTAAAGAAGAAAAAAAAACTTACAACACAGAATACCTCAGAAAAGAAATCCATGTAACCTTGACAACCTCCACATATCGTCACATCCTGTCCATCAACACTTTCATCTACTGTCCTTTGTCTTTGATTCCCCCTATTGCTTCTTTTGCCATGCAGTCTGTAGCTCCCAGTGGAGGTTCCATAGATTTTTATATACCGCTTTGGTTTCACATCCTCATATGTGTTCTGTTCTTTTGATTTGTGAATATTCTTGGTCTTTAAACCTTATCGCAGCCCACCTTGCGTCCTTCAGTTAAAGACAGAAAGAAGGTTTTAAAAAAACAATTTGATGCATCACAATTTTCAAAAGAGCTCCACAGAAGATACCATTAAAATCCCTGCAATTGATGGGCTTTCATAAAAGCAAAAAATCCTTCTGTCTTCTGATTTGAAAAGTGGGTTTGTTTAAAGACTGAAGGCCAATACATGGAACACTTGAACCCACAAAGTCCCCATGTTGTTCCTTTTGCATACCTCTTTATCTACTTATCTACTCTTTATCGTTGTTCAAAACTGAATGTAAAAAAACGCAAACACAACTAACCTCTAATTTAAGTATACATATTTAAGAATAAGAAATACTCTATATGTGCACATAGATATACCTATACAAGCCCCACACAGACACACAAACACAAATGCATATGTATATACAAATCTCTAATGTCATATACTTTTATCTTGAAAAGGAAAAGGATGAGCCTTTTCCATTAATGATTCAGGGAAACAATACAGAAGTCCAGTGCAGTATGTTAGATAAAATCACTCCCACGTTGTTGCTTTTGGTGTTCGTTTTCTTACTCTGTTCTTGCTTGTTATTTCCCCATGATGTAGCATAGGGCAAAGGGGGCAGGGCGAGTTTTTTGTTAACAGAAGAAGTAGTGGAACTAGGGTCTAGTGTAGTTGTAGTCTTTTTAAGCCTGATTATGTGAAAACGGGAGGGCGGGGGTGGGCATTTCCCGAAGTGGATACTGTAAAGACGGCATATTTATGAAGATGACTTGGACGTGAAAGTCACATTGGGGGTGCTGAAGGGTTGTGGGGGGGGGGGGATGTCTTCAGGACAGTTGTAAATAGAACTGCTTTACCCATCAACCCTCGCCTGTCTTTTTCACAGGTGAGGCGGAACTGTATATTGAAGGCACTGAGGAGGAACGGTTTGTGTGTTTTTATGTCTAAAAAAGTAAAGACTGTTTAATGAAGGAAGTGGAGGAGGGGTGATGATCCTGTTCAGGTTTTCTATGGGACCCAACATACAGTGAAGTCATTAGAAAACGTATCTCCCTCGAGCTTTGCCGGGAGTGACTGACGGTTTCGTGAACGCTGACCCTCTCAATATTTTTGCATGCTGGTGTACATACCCCTGTATCAGTCCTTTGGTTTAAAGAGGCTGGTTAATCCAAAAGCGCTTTTTTGGATGTTGTCCGCAGGACAGATTCTGATGTTTTGAATATAAAAATATTGCCCCTAAGAAAAAGTCCCTTTCCTGAGAAGAAGGAGCACCTAAGGTGTTTGTTTGTCACTGCAACAGCTTTCGTAGTGGTTTTTGGCTAAAGCTCTTTTGCAATCATTTTTTTCCTCGTGTAAAGTAACAAAAAAAGTGTGTATGAGTGTGAATCTGTGTGGCTGTGTCAGAAATAATGTGAAAAGCTTGCGCTTTTTGATTTTTCTCAGTTGTTCTTCAACCATATTTTGGCCTGAGAGCTGTTTTTGAAGGATCATTAATCTACCTGTGGTCTTAGGGTAACTCAATGGAACAGCATCCAAGATTGAAGAATTGCATCTCTGAACGTATCCTGTTGTCTGTAGGAAAAGATGCCTCTCTCTGGGCACCTTACAGACCCAAATTACATTACACAGACACCCTCAGGGACCCTTAACAACACTGCTCTCACTCTTATTCAGGTACTTAATCTACACCGAGGCCTAGCAGTGATCAACCTTAACTATGGTTTATTTTCAATAGCCTGTTTCTATGAAGACGAAAATTACAGCCAAAATCTTAAACGATCAGAAGCAGTTTTCTCGACGTCAGAGTTTTGTTATTTTGTATTCTACTCACGGGATAACTTCCCTTTTTTCTATCCTTTAGCTGTCTCTTCTTTATTTTTTTCATCTCTGGATTTTTTTAGTATTGTATGAATGTTAATCTTCTTCTCAGTTTAGGACTGCTGAGTCTTTGTTTGCACTCTGTTCTCTCTCTGACTTGCGTCCGGTGCCATGGCTTTTACTCTGTGCCGAGGACCGACGCAGCCATCTGGTATTGTGTGGCTACAAAGCACCAACGGAAAGATGACTTACACCAAGCTGACCTCTCAAAACAAACATTTCATACAAGTGCACAAAACAGTGGTTTGGCTTTTAAATAGCCTCCACAATCCTTAATACAGTATGTTGGTTTAAAAACCGGAGAACGCTGCAGTTACTGTACGCCATGTTCAGGTATCCGTCTGGTTTAAGTGCTAACTAAGTTCTTTCTCTCCGCCACCAATGGAGTTACACACAACAGAGGAATGTGACAGATCTGCCTTTAGTTCTTCTAACGCTTCAGGGAAAACTAAGCAAGCCTCTCTCACCGCAAGTGAAACCGGGAAGATGGTGGCGCTCAGCTAAGCTTGCAGAGCTGCGAAGGAACGAGGCGAGTCAAACTGGAGCAGAGAGATCTGTTTTGCAGTTCTCGGTGAAAAGGTTCTCATTTGTTCTTTGACTTTTGTTTGACAACCACTCTTCTTTGCTGTGATTGGTTGAAACCTCTGCTGTATGTCACTAAGTGTTTGTGTCGCTGCACATAGCTTGGCTTTGGAAGTCTCTTGTAGACCCTAGAGTCTGATTTTGATCTAGTCATGCAAAAGCAGTTATTTATTGGCCTGGTCTGGAGGGACAGGAGTGTATTTTGAATTTTGCCTAAATTTTGTACCTCTTACAACAATCAAATCAGTGACGTTTGACGAGAACTGTGTTAAAACTCTTATAAAATAAGTTGTATTTCATGTTGTAAGAACTCTTTTAAGATTACTTTCTACATTCCTGATGTTGATTTTGGTAGTAACCGGATTTTGTTGTGATAGAGACAGCTCTGATTGGGTTGGAAACAGCTTGTGGTATTTGGGTAGACGCAGGAAGTGTTGTCCAGGGGGTTGGACTCTAGTTTTGGTAGAACAACAAACCTCTTATTTCCTTCAGTCTCCATTTCTGTCCTGCTGAGGTTTCTAACGTTTCATAATCTCACCTTCGGTTCTTAACGGGTGGCTGAATGCCCCACTGCAGGGCCTGCTGGGCTTTTTCCTCTTTTCCGCTGAGATTTTGTTTTTGGGTTTGACGATATACCTCATTCCTTCAGTCCAGCGGGCCCTAGGGGGCGCTGTGCCGATGCTCAGGACGCCCAAGCCCCCTTTCACAATTTGGTCCCACCTGGACTGTACCTCTCATAAACACATAAACACACACACGTACACTTACACACTACACACAGGTTCTCCAAATACCCCAATGGACCTCATTTTTTCAATATCTACTGTTTACAGTTTGACAAGAAATTGTATAATTTAAAAAATATTTTTCTCATATTGTAGTTTTATTTATGTACAATATTTTTTGTTTTTGTTCTTATTTTGTACCTTGTGAGTTGGACTTTTATTCTTCTAGGCTTATATTATCGATGTCCATGTAAATGAGCACTTAACAAGGATCACAATAATTGGTTTTAGTTTGATTGACTGCACTATTATATTTTCTCTTTCTCTCTCCCTGTTTTGAATGCAAAATCTGATTTTCTGATTGGGCTGATGAATAATAAATTGTGTCATAATGTCCGTGATTTTTTGTTTGACAAAAATATGAAAGATGATGATTTGATTTCCTACAATCTTTTTTTTTTTTAACCTCATTTTGCATTGAACGTCAGGCGACGCTGATTAGATCTGTCTTTGTGCATGTGTAAAATATTTTACTGGTTATGTTATATTCAATTTGGTAAAAAAGAAAATTGCCATTTTTTGCCACACATTTCAGCTGTAATGTTGTGTAAGGTAGTATTCACTGGATGCTAGAACCTTCTTTTCAAAACCACTATTCTTCTAATAAATTTTGTTGTGAAAATAAAATGTTAGTCTCATTTGTGTTGATTTGCTTCCATATCTGTGACTACTAGTGATGTTATGTTGAGGATGTTAAAGTTACAGGTGTACAAGATACATATAGTCTTCAATTCCTTACTGAAGGCACATGGTTGACCTCTGACCCTGCCTTTCCCTGGGTTAACAGCCTGAGTAAGCAAAAGGTTCTCAAAGGTTAAGTACCGCCCCTCTGAGGGAACAATCAGGAGGTAAAGACAGACTCCTTCTCACTAACAGACTCCACTTGTTACCAGAATAGAAAATTTTCCTTAGCAAGTTAAAGTCCTGCACAATATTTACATCTGCCAGCCTTATCTTTCTACAGTGAGTTTGCCTTTGTTACAATGCAATAAAAGCCTTGTTAAGGGGGCGCAGGGTAGCAGTATTGGTTCAATATCCAACCTTTGCTGCATGTCATCCCTCCTCTCTCTCTCTCTCTCTCTCTCTCTCTCTCTCTCTCTCTCTCTCTCTCTCTCTCTCTCTCCCGTTTCCTGTCTATCTTCACCCCTCCTATCAAAATAAAAGCTAGCTGCGCTTTAGCACAGAGAAAGTGAGAGGTCTCACTCTGCCACTATTCCCCAGGACGGCAAACGTCACACAGTCATTCCCTCTTTCATTAATATTCCATGTGTTGATTGCAACACAAGAGAAAATCCAGTAATACTGTTCAGTTAATCCACCAAAGATTCAGTGAAAAATTAATTACTAATACCTTGGGATACTCCAGCCCAAAACTACAAGGCGGTGCCACGTTTACCCCCCCACCTCCAACATACAGTAGGCATTCATACTGTGGGAACCGGTTACTTCATGGGAGACAAATCAGCATTCTCAAGGGGAAATGTACTCAAAGGAATCAAACCTGACTACGTAGCAATGCCACAACAGAAAAACACCAGTTAACACAAGCTAATACAAGTTTAAGTCCTGGGTCCTGATGCATTGACCCATTCAGAATGTTACATTATTGATGAATTAACACAAACGTGGTATTTTAATATTGCAAGTGGCCCAGGTGGCGTTCACACACTGTGGGTTATTAATGCTCTAACATCCTTTATATTTTATTAAGTTAATGTTTTGCTCTGACCTTTTTGTTCTACAGCCCCCCCAACTTGGCCTACCTACTCGTGCTCTTATAGTTTCATGACAGGCCATACTCTGAAATCTATTACATATAGCTTGACAAACTGCTGCAAATGGCTGACAGTGACAGCATAATGGACATAATTAAAGTGACCAGACTGATGATGGTCTTTACATCTGACTGTGTTTCTGGATTTTTACAGGTAAAGTCCACCATGAGAAAACACAGAACGAGCAATGATCAACAGCTGAACTAGCAGTGGTGTTTGCCTCTCTATACCAGAGAGTGCTCTGACACATCTTATTTTTTATGTGCTACAAGATCCAGATATTGAAGGTCCTCTTTTTATGAACTTAAATTATTGATATAATATGAATAAAAGCTGAGAAAATGCGACTCCTGCAGGCGTTGCACCATCAGCCACAGAGAGGACAAATCTCTCTGTTGGTGTTGTGGGAGCTACAGGAACCTCCTGTGGTGGTGTTAGAGAATGGATTAGTTGTAGCTTCGCGAATGGGTGTATTTTGCCAACTTCAGCGTCAGCGAGTAATTCACACATTTTAATTTTCACTCTCAGGGCTGCATTAGACACTGGCTGTCGTAAACGAGAGCTGCATCACTAACAGGTAAAGGTGAACAAGAACAATAGAGTATAGTGAGAAAGGATCTGACTTTGACAGGTTCCAGATACCAATCCTTAGGATTGTCTCGGGACATCTTTACCCTATGTGTTGGACACTGGTGAGTACAGTAGGTCCTCCTCCCCCCCTGCACACAACCAACAAACACATTTCCTGTTTACTGTCACACTACAAATCTGTATAATTCATGGTGGTCACAAGTTTACTGTTTACTTGTGTCACTGAGCTTCACGTCACACAGTTTTCAAGAGGTAGTTGTGAAATATAAGTTGAGAGATGTAACCTTGTAGTTTGTTTAGGTTGTTTGCCAGTTTCAACCGTTTATTGCTTTGCAGTCTGTACAGCGTTAGGTAAAATAGGTCCATAAATTTAATTTTGAGTAATCAATTTTCCTTCTTAGTGATCTTTTTATTTGATCCTGACTTGTGAAGCACTTTGTAAAGTCTGTTTTGATATGAGCCATTGACAGTATATATAATGGACAGAGCTTCTGGGTCTGTGAGGTGAAGTCAACACCAAGGTGTTTTAAACCTGCATTCTATCTTACGGCCAGCAGGGGGCAGCTCCATTGGCTGCATTAAAAACTAATACCATTCAGTCCTATAGAGAAATGAGCCGACTTCTCAGTTGATTTATGAGCTCAGTAAACAGTTTCCTGATGAGTTTCTGGTCTCAGTCTCTAGTTTCAGTCTTCTTCCATACAGCATGATGTTCATTTAGTAACTGATGGTCCCATTTAGAGTAAAACAGACCATAAAGCAGGGTATGCTTTAGGGGTGGGACTACCTTGTGATTGACAGCTCATTCTCAGTGAGTCCATCCAGCTCAACGCGCCAAACTCAGATCAAACTGTCAAACAGTGCTGATCAGATATGGATCCAGATTCTGTTGTTGACTATTTCTCTCCTCAAATCTGTTCACAAACATATTTTACTGTTTATCTGGAATACCAGATCCTGTGTGACCAGGCGAGCCGCCATTGTTTCCTGCTACAGACGAGTTGAAACTGCGCAGCCAATGAGAGCAGCTCAACACGCAGTACGTCACCTCCGCTGGCCCCGACAAACCACCATGGCAACGACCATAACGGCAAACTGGAAGCTTCATAACAGAACTCCACAAAGCAATGGGTGAAATTTTATAACAATGATGGTTTACAGGTAGGTGATGAATTACTGGTGCGGATGCTCTAAACTGTCACAGCCGTGCGTAGCAGCCACATATAATGACAGCTGTTTGAGTCCTGTTGGACAACACAATCAGTTGAACAGTTTCTTCTTCACCGTTCTTCTTATTGACAGGTCTAATGAGTGGTGGAGTCACACATACCAATATGCAAACATATGTTTGTTGGTGTTTTTATATCTATTTATGGATTATTGTGAGAGTACAAATTAAGCTTGTGAAAACATTGACTGAGATACATTAAAATGAATCTGGCGTATGTGTACATATTCCTATCTTTATGCGTACACACAGTTTTAGTTGTGAATCTACAGAGTCTTATACATGTGGCCCCTGGTGCTTTAAGGTGTAATTCGACCAATGAGGTAATTTCTACCAGCAGACTGCCTCTCCCTCTGAGGAACTAAAACTCAAATCGAACATTTATTCTCTCTCCAGATCACCTCTCACTCTGCTCGCCAACTCTTTTGTCTTCCTGTATCTCCTCCTCTCTCTCTCTCTCTCTCGCCTCTTTCTTTTTACGTAAGTGTCTCTCTCTCTTTCACTCTCTGCTGCAGGGCCTGAGGAAAGAGGCCTCTGCGGTGGATGGAGGCAGAAAAAGACAAATAACTTTTCAGGGCACAGGAAGTAGGTCATCCTCATATAAAATATTTATTTCCCGCACTGTGCCTAAGGCTCCAAGAGGACTCCCTCTTTAGATACTGTATATGTGTGTATGCGTGTGTGTGTGTGTGTGTGTGTGCGTGTGTGTGTGGTTTCGTACTACGCTCATTTGCACATATATGGCTGCTCATGGTCTGTGTCTGACTGAATTTGACTACAGAAATGTTGAATATTTGGAGGGTTCCGGTCTCTTCAGGAGGTCTGACCTCATTTTTTTTTCATCGATTCCTTTCTTTATTAAACACATACTGAAATAGCTTTTCGCCACAGCATCTATATATGTATGTATTTGCCTTATGCATTCATTTTAGTCAATTTTGCAGCATGGGGAATTGGATGTTCCAAATTGTGGAAAAGAAATGGAAAACGGGGAAAAAATCTGAATACTGGCAGCTGGAGTTGTTGGACTCTATACATTTAGTCTACAGATAGAAACTCTTATGGAGGATTTAAATTTAACATTTAAGGCATTTGATTGCACCTGGTATACAGAAAAAAAATCCAACAAATAATAATAAGAATTATTCTAGATAATTAGCAACCCTTGTACTGTGTATTGGCAAGAATCTGGCAATACAATACATATCACAATACAGGAGTTATGATTCAGTATACCGCGATTCTGTATGCAAGGTGATATATTGCTTTTTTTAAATCTAATTTTAGGAAAAGAAGTAAATCAATAATTTACATTTGATATCTATGGAAAAGAAGAATCGATACAATATCACAGAACAAAATAATAATATAATATGTGATATATTTCTTACATTATATGCATGAATTCATTATATTAATTATTACATTTGTATTTAAAATCTTTAATCATTCCATTAAATATTTTGTATTGTTTGTCAGTTTAGTTTAACACTGAACAGTGTGTGTGTGTGTGTGTGTGTGTGTGTGTGTGTGTGTGTGTGTGTGTGTGTGTGTGTGTGTGTGTTTTCCTTTTCAAAACCATTTTTGTTAGATTCTTTAGATAGCACTGAATTTCAGATGCAGAGCAACTTCGTGGCAGGCGCAGACCGCCATCAGTGATGAATGATGTTTTGCCTGGCAGACAATTAGAAAGATGGAAATAACAAATAAGATTTCAATATGTTATTATTATGAATTACATTTGATTAAATATGCAAGGCTGCACAATGAATTAAAATACACATATTGAGAGATATTAAGAGAAAATATCTCAAATGTGAAAGCTCTGGTTCCTTTACTCCTCTATGACAGTAAACTGAATATCTTTGGGTTGAGGACATCAGGCTTTGGGAAACAGTGGTCAAAATATTTCATCATTTTCCAAAAAACTAATCAATTAATTGCAAAAATGGTCGACAGATAATTCAGAAATTAAAATAATGGTTAGTTGCAGCACTACTGCAAACCCTCACATTTGTAAAGCTGAAACCAGG